AACTAAGCAATTTGATAGCAGGTAAGGTGATAGCTTGACTAAAATCATTATGCTTGAAGCGATAGCCAGAAAATTGAGTGTCATTCAATATCGACTGGAGAAGTGGCTCTAAGGCAAAATTGTATAAAATACAAGAGAGTGGGTCACCTTGTTTGAGGTCTCGACGCTTTGGAACCAACTGCTTAGAGAGCCAACCATTGATGTTGATACAAATGGAATTATCTCTAAACAAGGTAATAGTGCTGGCAACCAGGGTCTTTGGAAAACCTAAGTGTAACAACACTTGCTTGAGATAGTCAAGGTTGACACGATCATAGGCCTTTTCTTGGTCTAAAAGAATGCCAAGATCTTTGTCTGGTCGGCGATAGTTTGTTGCTGCATTTTACATGATCATTTGGGTGAGCAATCCATGTTCAGCAATATATCTGCCAGGCATAAAGCCTAGCTGATATTTGTTGATAAGTGTAGCAGCTACTGTCATAATCCTGTGGTTGATTATCCGAGTGAAGATCTTGTTATCTGTATTAACCAACTGGATAGGACGATAGTTCTCTGCCCGCGTTAGATCACCTTTCTTAGGCAAAAGAGTCATAAGTGATAGCAGCCATGATCTTGGGAATAAAGAATGAGCTAAGGTATCATTGTATACTTGTAGAACTAGCTGCCTTAAACAAGGAACACGAAGTAGAATACCTAGAATTTCGTATGGCAAACCATCGCTACCAGGGCTACTATGACGAGGTGAACGTCTACTTGCTTTCGATATCTCCAGCCAAGTGATAGGACTTTCAAGGGTAGATGCTTGCTCTTTAGTAAGTCGTTGGCTGTTGGTACGTTGTAAAAGCGTGTTGACATCAGAGGATTGGATCTTGTCAGGACGATATAGCGCCTTATAGAAGGCAACCATCACCTTTGTTTTCCCTTCTGTATTAGTAACCAATCGTCTAGAATTGGGATCAAAGAGCTTTGGTATTGTTCGCTGTGTAGACCTATCTTGTGCAAGTTTTTTGAGAAGACCAGGAGATCGTTCACCTTTTTCTCGCCAAAATTTGCCTGCTTTGAGATGTTCTATTTCGGCAGATTCATCCTGCAAAATAGTAATCATTTTTTCAACCTTTGGCAAAAGAGATGATAAAATAGATGTATTTTTATGATCTCGTAAAATTTTGTTGCGTTTGGATTGAAGCTTTTTCAGAGATTTGGATCGCCAGTTGTTACGCTCGATCTGGAAGGATCGAGTAAAAACTTTGACTTGTTCTTTCAATTCATCCCAAATAGTTTGAACTGAAGGGCAATCAGGATCCAAACGGTTGATGTTATCCATGTATTGCTCAATATGTGTTGTCAAACCTTTTCTATATGCAGATAGTCGAGCAAGATTAGGATTACCTTTCCAAGGACCAGGTCCAGCTGGAGTGTGTACCAGTTGATAGTTGATAGAAAGCAAGGCATGGTCAGTCCAACTGTAGTTAACAAAATTTTGAGTCATAGAAATTACATTGTCAGCATGAGGTAGAGTGCAAAATATATAGTCAATATGTGTGCGACTACCAGTGGCACTAACAAATGTAGGAAGAGGATCACTTTGAAAACAATCTTGAAATGAAGTAAATAGTAGATCATTTCAGCACGTATCAATGTTGGATTTACGGTAAATGTCATAGTTGAAATCGCCAGCAATAATAATAGGCAAAGACGTTGACCGTAAATGTGACATTAATGGTTGTTTGGAAGATAACGTGCGAAAGAATGTGGATCGACTACTACGATAAGCAGGAGCATAAATATTGAGGATATACATAAAAGGAATGGAGGGTTCAGAGGCATGAGCGATAGACGCTAAGAGAAAGCGGCCATCGGTAGAATTGATGGTGGGATGTGCTGTAATTTTGTAGTGGGATTTTAAGGAAACAATGCCACAGTGTTCTGTCCAAAGACTGGATTTAGTCTGGAACTTGAGATTGAACTGTTTCTGCATATTAAGTGTAGATGCGTGTGTTTCTTGTAAGCATAGAATGTCATATTTAGTTGAACGTAGAAAGCGGATGAATAAGGACTGTTTGTAAGGATCTGAAGTTTTCGTAAGGCCACGACAATTAAGGGTGGCAATTTGCATAGAGTCTTTAGGCATATATTATCTTATTGAAAGTCAGGAGAGGTACCTGTTGATCCACCTGTATTATGATTAGGTACCACTCTTTGTCTCTCATCTTCATGATTAAATTTGATCTTTTTACGCTCCTGGATAAACCTTTCTAAGTCCAAAGCCTCTTGGGTTGGATTATTGCTTGGAATATTTTGAAGATATTCATCATCATCCTCTCCATCGGAGTCAATGATTTCTACTTCATTATCTCCTTGCTCTTTCATTTCATGATCCACCAATTCATGCTCGACTACTGTAATATCGTTTGAAAGTGTTTGAATAGTCTCGGTTGCTATTTGACTAAGAGGAACGGTAGTCAATGCAGCAGGAGAGACAATTTGCTTATGCTTCGCACTTTGTGCCAGTTGCTCATTGGGCAGGTTGGATCCTGATCTACTAGCCTTGTCTTTTGTGATCCCAATACGCTTATTAGAAGGGTGGCCTGATCCATGACTACGACGAGGACAATCACGGCTGATATGACCACGCTCATTGCAGTTATAACAACGACGAGTATTAATGAGTTCCATGCAATCTGCTCGACAATGGTCGGATTTTTGACAAAAACGACAAAATTGGGGCATTCTGTTGTGAGATGAAGAGAGAATAGATATTCAATAAGAGAAAAGGTAAGAACACAGAGAAAGTCCGTTAGAACTTGTATAGGTTTTTATTTCTCCAAGAAATGTTATCTTTCAATTGCTATAAAATGTCGAGGTATTTATACTTTTTCTTCTCGGTCAAAATATTGTTTTGGATTAGCTTCTTGACTACGGATTGATTTGTTAGATCAGGAGCAATTAAGAGAAATGCCTTTAGAGGAAGTTGTCAGCTCAGCCAGTAGTACATGATCTGACCTGAACTTGAATAAACTATTACATATTTGTCAAATGCCAATGCCAATGTATTTGTCAGCTCTAACTGTCACTTTATGAGTGCCGTTAATAATAACAGAGTCACTAGGTTCATAACCTCTGACTATGAAGATGATGTAGTACTTCTAGTAGAATGAGTGAATGTCAGTGACTATAGATTCATTGCAATTGCCATAGATGTGATCTGGTCTTTTGCCATGATCATCATTTATTGATCTATGCATGTGAATTCATATATGTTCACAACACATTTCATCCCACGTAAGCAGAAGTTCACGATCAAATTCGGGCCAATCCACTACTCGACCAAGTTGCTCAGGCTCAGACTTGTGAGGATTGTTCAGGTCAAGAACGACGTAGCCCTGGCCAAAAAATACAGCACCGTCCATATGAAATCCCCAGATCTAGGACTTCACCAAAATGGGAAAAACGTTTGGTCATTTGCTCGCGGAGAGTTGAAGGATGAATCAAAGGGAGTCGTTCAACCTTAACTCGAGCAATTTTCGCATTCTGGGACAAGCTGCGGTAACCTTTGATAATATTATTATCTTCCATCTGCAAACCGGTGTTGATCAACTTATTGTATACTTCTGAGTTGGTGTCCCAGCAAGTTTCAATAAAACGCCTCTGCAAATACTTGCGCTTAACAAGTAAAGTGCCAAAGAAATAATACTCTTCATGGGTATTAAGTGACCCAAGAAACTGTTTAAGGCCATTCACATCACGAATATTGGTGATATCGATCAATACACTATCTTTCTCTAAACCGACAATATAAGGCGTAATAGCGCCTGAAGAAAGAGTGTTGGTACTAGCATACTTCGACTGGGAAGAACCAGAAGTGCGTGCAGATGAAGCTGTGGCAGCCAATGATGACGACTGGTTAGCAGACACAAAGTTCTAGCCGCTACTTGCGACCAAGTTCTGGGTAAATTATCGTTGTTACGACGCCCTTTGGAGGATGTCATGTTGTGGGTTGGCTTGCTAGGCGAAAGAACCATTACCTTTTTCAATATTAATACTCTTTAACGCATCATAGCGTAAGCGATTGCATTTCTCTTCCATATTTAAGTGAAAACTCGTTCAAATATTCCTCTCTAAATGCAAAAGTCTTCCATTTTTGATGGAAACTTTTTTCCGTCGCTTACGCTGTGATGAAGATGCATCTTATATAAAACATTTATTTAGCAGAAATACGCCTAAAGACTTATTAGCTATGTCTCTAATGAAATATTGAATAACCAGTTGTTTTTAATGTAAAATCAAATTTTATAATTCTTTTTCTAATCCTTGCTAAATGTAAGAGTGCCTTTTCGTCTTCTCAAAAACCATCACTAGTGGAAATAATCGCGTGTCATCATTACCTTAGATGGTATCTTACCGACTTGGGGAGACAGCTTGAAAAGGGCTTAAGTGATAGAAAATGAATAAGCCATTGAGAACGATCCTTTCGCTAAGTTCTATGTGGCGTGATTAAATAAAGAGGTTCGAGATGGCTATGCATACTGATGATTCCTTGATGCTTATCAAGTGTCTCAAAGTAACAATTACAGAAAAAAAAACAGGATTAAAGGCTTCAGAAAGGGTCGCGTCGTCTGGATGGTATGTCATTTTTAATGAGCCATTATTCATAGTGACTCTACTTTTAAAACAAACATGTTCGCTCTTTTTGTAAAGCGAATAGAGTGTTCTCTAAGTTGAATGCTTAGATACTGAAAACATATAAAGAATGCTGGAAGCAATTATTAAGCTTTATTGTGTTTGAACAAAGACTTTTGTACTTGTAAGAAACAGATTGTAGTGAGAACAATGCTATGGCAAACAAATAAATAATCAAACTTTATTTCACAAGAACCCCCTTTAGGTGCAAAAGGGAGAGGGGGAGCTCCCTTTCAAATTCGTAACTCGCATGGATACTTATGTAAGATCAGCTTATGCTTTCATTTACCGCGTTCGCGTCTTTTTTCTTTTTTTAACCAATGTCAGTTGCTTTAAGAAATCCTTTAGCTTCTTTAGAACAGCTTGAGACAACTGTGTCAAGACGCGATGGGATCGATGAAGAATTGGAACAAGATTTAAGGAATCTAGGAGCTGAACTGATTCAAAGTGCAGGGATCTTGCTTAAACTGTAAATATACTTTTTTTTTTGAGTGTATACTAAAGTAATAATAGGCCTCAAGTTGCAATGGCTACAGCACAAGTCTTGTTTCAACGTTTTTATTATATGGCCAGTTTAAAAGAATTCGGTATTATGGTATGCTCATGGTACAAGCAAAGTGTGTATTTAAATAGACGATAGGAAATTGGTATGGGAGCATTGTTTCTTGCGTCCAAGTTGGAAGAATGCTTTGTTCGAATGACACATTTGATTACTGTCTATGACTTGTTGATGAGAAGAATCAAACATCAATCCATCAAAATACCTTTAGATCCATTTTCTCAGGTACTTTATGCTTGCCAAGACAGGATGAATTCACACTATTTAGAAAGCCTACAACTTGAAAGACATGGCCATTGCTGCAGAAATGCAAATTTTGAGAAAACTCGGATTCATTGTCCATGTTCAATTGCCTTATAACCTTATGATCAATTATCTTCGTATTTTGGACTTGGAAGAACACGACAGGATTACAAGAAAAGCGTGGAATTATTTGAATGATGGTCTAAGAACCACTATTTATGTCACTCATGAACCCCCCACCATCGCATGTGCTGCTATTTGGCTTGCCTGCTTAGAAGAAGGTGTCAAATTACCGACAACGCTAGGAAAAGAATGGTGGCTGTTATTTGATGTGGATGCAGTTAATTTCAAGAATGCAGCAGCCCATATTAAGCGACTTTATTTCAAGAAATTGGATAGGGCTAATTTACCATTGTATAAATTATCCCAACAAGAAGAATAAACTACGAATGAATGCAACTATAATAATGAAATGGCAGGACTGGCTCCTCTTCTAGCAAGAGAGTATTTGATGATAATTGAGCCTTATATGTCTGGATGATATTGGGTCTTTCATGTTGAAGTTGCTGCCTTTCTGCCATCATGACCAAGAAAGAAGGGCGAGGGCTTTTGATGGATACCGCAGGGCTTGAGAGGGCATCTGCATAGACTGTGCTGGAAGAAGATGCGCTTGATTTAGGCCTTGGTTGATTTGCGAGTGTCATTGAACTTGTACGTGAGCCTGCTGCTGTTGTTGTGTTTGATTCGATCAGTTTATCCGTCATGCTTTGACGTAAAGGAGTTAGTTTTGGTATGGACACCTTTTCTTCAGGTTGAACCCCTTCTTTGGATAATGAAAGATCATCAAATTTATTTTGGTCGTCTTTGCTTTCATTGTTTCTTACTTGTCGTTGTCTTTTTCTCTTCAAGGCCACAAAGAACATGACAGCAGCAACAATTGCAATGCCACCACAGACACTAATAATGGGTGCAATGACTTGACTCATAGTAGTACTATTATTTTTAGAAGGAGGTGTATGTGGTGTGTCTACTAATTGATGAACATTGGACTCCCTTTGCTGTTGTGGAATAGAATGCACTCTTTGTTCTAATGGTTGAAATGACGAATGAGTTGCTATGATGGGAGTTGACTTATGTTTGATTGAAGGAGTAGATGTTTTAGGGTGAAAAGTGGCCATTCTTTTATGATCTGTCACTTTTTTACTCTTCAATTGCTTCTTCTTTTTTGAATGCTTCGTTTTGAGTCGATCCATCAAATAGAGAAAGAAAGAAAAGAAGTATGAAAAGGTCAATTTATATATATATATATATATATATATATTGTATTGGATCAAAGTTTTATTAAAAAAATAAAATCATTGCATAAATGGAAACTGGTGTATGCAAAGCAAATTGATTAGCCATATGGAATATCTTTAAGACTATGCTTCTGTGGGAGCATTCAGTACGACTTTATACAAGTCTTCTATAATCCCAAAGGAAATAGCTATTATCTAGGATACCCTTTAATATATCCTAAAAAGGATAAATTAAGCTCTTCATTCATTGCTCCTTAGAGTCAGTGTCCTTTATATCTTGTCTTACCCGACGCTACAGATGACAATACCAATACCACAAGTAAAAGACATCATTCCGAAACGTCTTCGATTACTTGACATTTGAGCACAATTTTATATACCAAAGAGATACAGTCTTCCACAAGGAATTATAGCAAAATCTGAAGAACCACCAATAAAGACCAGGCTAGTGCAATAAAAAATTCTTTAGACGAAAGAAAGGTGATGATCTTTATTCAAACATACCGTGTTTCCAGTCTCGATTTACCAAATGTTTGGAAACTCCGCCCAACAAATTTTCCATAAAAGAAAATAGTTTGCTCAAATGTTTGAAATACTAATGTTGCCAGAGCGAAGGAGGAAGAAGCTGGTACAAGCTCACTGAGCCACACTTTATTTTGAGTAATACAGTAGTAATAAAAACGATTCCACCCCTTTTCCCCTAGATATATAGAATATACATCAAGTAAAATACAATTAAACCTATGGCATGTCTTTTCGCATCAATGTATATTAATATTAGTGACACCACTAAATAACCAACAATACTCGAAAGCAACAGGTTGTTTATGAATTGGAATATATATAAGAGCATATCTCGGCCACCAAAGCAAGTCTTTTTTCAATCAGCATTTAGGCTAAAGTCTGTAATCAATCTGAGATGTTTACTGGATTCCAGTTCAATAAAATAAAAGCTACGCGTATTCGCAGTTAAAAACCCAAATTTTATCTTTCTCATCTTTATCTTCCTCGTTCAAGTTTGTACGCACCCAATCATGACTAACATCAGTGAAGAGACTGCTTGGAAGAGTATCAAACACGAACCCAATTTATCAAGGTTCAGAGAGAAGAAAAAAATTGGTACACGCTCTAACATAAATTATATAGCATATTGGGCAAACAAGGCAGTTGAAGATTGGAATGTGATCGACTACTTTATAAAACTAGTGGAGGAAGAACCAACAATAGACAAAAAGCTAGCAACAGCCAAGATTATAAGAGATCTAGAGCTTGTCCAGGCAGCTTTGATCCACATAACTGAAGTGAAGAATAAGACAACTACCATGATGAGCTTAATAAAGAAGAAGAGTCTGGTGATTTCCACCTTCTGGGAAAAGCATTCTTCAAGATTGAAAATGATTTCACTTGATCACAAGTTGTATGTCAGGGAGACTCAAGCTCTACTTAAAGAAGAAGCAACAAACAGATCTACCCTCAAAAGGAAACAGGTTAACTCCTCATCCTCGTCATCTCTCTCCAAGGCCTCAAAGAAAAGAATCATTGATACACAACTTGAGCAAATTGAGCACGACGGTATTACTGTGCCTGGCTTGGATATTTCTTTGGCAACAGTCATAAAATGAAAGGCCGTAAAGTACCATGAGATGTTTGCTTTGAATCCTGACGCCCTCACACCGAGACAAAGAAAAATTATGTCTGCTGGACTCTCCTCAATCCTCGATCTGACAGATCAGTCTTTTGGATCACAAAGGTCAATCTTCAATGCAGAACAATGGGATTATATCAATGCTTATTTTGAAAAAAGACTTGCAATCAAACGACATGCACTTGACAATGATATTTGCAACACAATTAAAAATTTCCTCCAAAACTATCTAAAATAAAAATTTTGTTGAGAGACCCAGGTGCACCAAAAAAGGCATGCCATATCCAAAGATCTTGGGAGGCCACAGCTTCTAACACAACAGTAGCTTTCTTTTCCTTGCCCTTGTAGCTCCCGTGATGAGCCTTAGGGCAATTCTTCCATTCCCAGTGCATGCAGTCTAAAGATCCAAGCATTCCTGGGAATCCACGCTCCTTTCCTACCTCATACAAGCGTGCAATGTCTTCTTGATTTGGTCTTCTGAGGTATTCGTTCTTGAAGACTTCGACGATTGCTTTACAAAACTTCTTCATACAGTGTAAAGCAGTTGCTTCATTTACACGAAGGTACTCCGCCATGAAGTCTCCAGGGACAGCATATGCAAGCATGCGGAGAGCAGCAGTTACTTTTTGGCTAGTTGAATAACCAAGTTTTTGAGCCCTATCGCGAGATTGCACAAAAAAAGAGTCGTGTTGCATAACTGCCTCCTTGACTCTTTTGTACAATCTACGACTCATTCTGAATCTGCGTCGAAATGTAGCTTCATCTTCGACGGGATCTTCGCGAAAGTAATGTCGTTGAAGATTCTCTTCTCCGAGATGACGAAAGTTCTCCTTGTTTCTTTTACGTTGTCACTTCTTGGAGACATTGGTATCCTCTTCTTCATCAAGCTCCAACAATAAATCAAACAAAGCATCGTTTTGTCTCTTTCTTTGGATGAACCATTGAAGTGCAACCATTGTAGTATTGTGATCCATGTTGATTTTAAAATTCAGGAGTAAAGTTAATTTTATTTTAGAAAGTCCACTAAAAAAACAGACTTTCCAAATCATTTTTTTTCTGAAAAAAAGTATAAATTTTAGAAAGTCTGATGAAAAGTCCGCTAAGGATGCTCTAAAAGATTTCAGTCTGTGAAAATAAAAACGTAGCCACATTTTTTAAATAAAATCATTAGATAATGCAAGTAGAGTACGTGGCATTCATATGTACTCTTAGTATTCGAATGCTTTTGGTGTAAAGGCTTTCGTAACAATTCGATGCGCTTTATCCGAAATGTGAGCAAAGGCTCTTGTTCCTTCTTTGATCTATAGCAGACACTGAAGATTCAATGCGCTTTGTCACCATGTACTCTACTCTCCATCTTGGCATTATTTTTCAACAAGGTAAGAAAGACACGCATTACATATCAATTCAGATGCTAATTACTAACGCAAAATTTACTGTTAGATAATGCAAGTAGAGTAGTTTCTATACAAAATCCAGCATACCATACCTGCTGAAACTCTATACAGCTTTGCCAGTCATTCTGAACGACAAAGCATTCAATGCTATAGTAAAATCCCATTCTAATCGTTTTGGAGTCAGAAAATAAATATCATTTTTAGGTCAATTTGATTTAACTTATTGTGACATTTCTCTTACTTCAAAGGGACAAAGTTTCTAGACATAAAGGGACAATGATTTTTGGCTTGATGCCATCAGTTTTTTGGAAAGTGACATTTATTTTTTGGTTATGGACATTCAGTTTTCTCAGTGACAAAGTTCACCGTTCTCACTGTATATTTGACAAACATCATCGTAAATGGAAGCGTAGTCTTGATTATTGATAGATAAAGTTGACCAAATGAGGATTGTATGGTTGGTACAAAGATGCCGTATAGCAACAACTCGCCAGGAAAACGCAGCAAACACCAACCAAGCCAGCCTCTCCATTCTAAAGCAAAATATAGGAGCCCACACTCCAGAGTAAACAATCCCCCGCGTTCATGAATACCCTGCACTATTCGCAAATTAGAAGGTCTTTTTCGACAGCATTACCGGCGCTGGTCATGGCTTGGTATAGTGAATGCCGTTACTATAAGGGTGTATACACCTATGTTCAAGTTTTTTTTTGTTTTTGGTCAATATTTTTCATTTACTAATTAAAAAGCGTTTTGTGTACATTACCTTTAGAGATGAAAAAGAAAACGCAACAAACATCAAACAAGCCAGCCTCTCCATTCTAAAGCAAAATATAGGAGCCCACACTCCAGAGTAAACAATCCCCCGCGTTCATGAATACCCTGCACTATTCGCAAATTAGAAGGTCTTTTTCGACAGCATTACTGGCGCTGGTCATGGCTCTTGATGCTAAGTATAATATAAAGTGTAAAAATGAAAAAGTGTACATGTTTTCTTCAAACTCTGGAGAATTTTTTATTTGGTGACGTAGCTACTAAGGCGGAGTTTATTAGGTAGAATTGATACAGTATTTCTACTTCAAATTCAGACGATGTTAAATTTTTTTTGGACGAATCAAAATTATTTTTCAGATGTTTAGCTTACCTTTTTTGGACGAAGTAAAAAAAGAAATTAGACAAATGAAAATTTAGTTACGGAAAACGATTGTTATGTTAAATTCAAAAGTAGGTACCTGCATTAAATAACCAAAGCGTTAACCTTGATGGATAGTTTCGGTGTTTTTTCTGCAAAATATTGCTGGTCTTCGACCAGTTTCTCGTAAGCTTTCAACTATCTTAAAGTTCAGCACTGCGGCCAAGTCCCGGTTCCAGAGTTTTCTTCTTTGTTTTTCGCCGTTATCAAGACATTTAAGATTTTGACATCTAATAATCCAGTGGTTATAGTCATTAATAGCTCCATTCTACAATTATTATTATCGTCTACCTTAATAAACCGTGACATTCAACAGTTGGTGCATCGGCTCTTTTGTATGGGCGAGGGTTGACAACAGTCTTGAATGTCTCCAGTTCGCTTTCGCAAGTAGGGCAATATGAGGACGTTTTAAACTCGTCGATTAAAAGAACAGTAAATCCTGCCTTCTTCAACATTTTGATTAGGCCTTTACTTCTTGTGGGCTCCTGGAATTTCGTATTCGGAGCAGACCAATTACCTATCACTAAAATCGAGTTTTTCCCAAACTTTAGCTTTAGCCGTTGAACCAAATTGGCATCATTTTGATCATGATAGAGCTTGCTGTTGAATTTTATCTTTCTGAAAGGTAACAGTCGCAATTTTTCTAATTGTGTGCTTGCTTTGTGTTTTAACCCATTATCTTCATTACTTAAGGACATGTTACTAATCAGTGCATTTAGTGAGTTTTTTGTTGTTGCAGTCAGACGCTGTGCGATGTGCTTTTGTTTTAACATGATTTCCAAATAAGTCGCATACAAATTCAAATCAGTAGTGGTGCTAGTAGTGTCTTTCGGTTGCGGATAATATCCTCGAAAATTTATAACAAACAAATCTCCATAGTATAAACATCATCGTCGTATTGAGAATTCCGTGACAGATCCAGGGAAATATGATTCATTGATCGTCATTGTTTCATTTCCATAATATCTCGTTAATACATGTGTGACAGAGGCTCTGGTTTTGATGTAATCCCTAAATTTTGTAATGTCTACTGAAGAAGATACGGTTTTAGACAAAATGAGTTGGGCGATTTTTACTGACTCTGGCGTATTTTGTTTGCTTAATATTTTGTTATGTCTGGTCAGCTTATTTCTAGTGATTTTTGTATATTTTAGAATTTGGGGCTTCTCCTTCGTACTTGACTCTTGCATGCAAAACATAAGGTCTCGTCTTCCAGGGTCAATTAAAATGTATTTGCCTTGGTTTTCCTTCAGTGTAGCAGGTAGTATATTTTCGACATACTCCTCGTCGATAGTATCTGTCTTCTTATTATTCATTCTTGGCTGCTTTTTACCCGTGGTGATATTCTGTTTTAACACCGAAGCACAAATACCATCAGTTTCAATGGTACCCTGAAATCGTAGAGATTTATTAAGTCCTTGAGGTTTGAATGATTTCTTGTTTAAATTAACGACGTTGCTCCAAATCTCAAACTTTTGTTCCGCCTTGAAGGAAGTTTTCTGCTTCAGTATGTGATGATGAACTATTTTGGAATCCAGAGTAATGTAGGATGGTATAAACGATGTTTTGATTGGAAAATAATTAAATGTTTTAGCTGCTTCAGTTTCCAGAAGTTTAGCAATCTTGTAGAAAGCATTGAAATGCTTCTCTGGGTGAGCTTTAACATTATAATAGATAAAATTCTTTTCGAATTTGTAGTTGTTTGGGTAAGTTGATAGTAAGTCCCTTACAGATGATAATGCTTTTTCATCCAGGACGTCCGAAGAAGGAATTTCTTTTTTTGATACAGCGAATTTCATTTTGTTAAGGGGTTCAAATACTTCTTTTCGGCGGGCTTCTTATATAGCTTGTTTCGTGGCATTTACAGCTTTCATACGATGATCGAGACTGAGTAACTTTTCTTCTTTTTAGAAAGCATGTTCAATAACATACGCAATCTGTTACCAAAATGTGCCTTGATATTATTGTGGTAAGCCGTATTAATTTTAGTACATTCGTACAATGCGAGCTGTTGCGCGTACTTTATCTCAAACGGAGTATATTAAGCATCTTCAAAATACGATGATTTGTGACGAGATATCAATTCACGATAGATAGCGGTTCTATCTTTTACCTTTCCAGGAACATTACGACGAATGATCAGAGCCAGAAACACCTCTACGAAAAACTCCTTTGTTACAAAATCTGCCAAGCTGAAGTCAATGCTATTCTTTAGCTCCTCCAAAAATATGTATTTTGAGAAACTATAAGTATGTAAAACTAGTATATTGACATTGTCGACTAAATCATATAAAGGTCGTACATGATCCTGATTCCAAATATTTTGAATAGTCGTTTTGATTGTGATCACTTGTTTAATTTGTTCAGAAACTGGGGAGCTTGAATTGGCAACATTTGAATTGGAGGAGCTTGATTCAGCAACTAAAGAGCTTGATTCAACTACTGAAGAACTTGGTTTGACTGCTGAAGAGCTTGGTTTGACTGCTGAAGAGCTGAGGTTGATTATTATGGAGCTTGAGCTAGCAGTAGCACTTGTATTAGAAGAGGTATGGACCACATTATTTAGTTTAGCCTTTTTATTTTCAGAACTATACGGCGTGTTTTCTTTACGTATATGAAAAGTTAGATTAGACCTGTACATAAAGATCATGTAATAAGACGTACTAGTTCTTTTTCTATACATAATCGGTTGGAAATCTTCATCTGAATTATCTTCAGTAACTTCTTGTTCGGTTTCTTCTGTTGTATCAGAAAAAGTGTGGTCAATGGGATTTCATCTATTTACTATAATATTCGACTTTATCAGTATTGATTCCACGACCATTATCAGACTGTTTTCCACTTCTTTTCATCATTTTTTTCAATTTTTTACGTATTTGGAATATAATAGATAGTATTGGCTAGAAGAAAGCTATTACACTATATAGTATACAATTGAAAGAAATGAAAAAAAAATGGATTTTTTGGTTATTTTATTCATTGCCACCAAATCAGAATATAGTAAATATGAGCTTTGACGTGACATGTTAAATATACATTCTTTTCTCTCGAAAAAACTTTTTATAACTTATGTAAGGTCACAACATCACATATAAAGCACACTCTTAAGTATGTATTATCTTTTGAATATCCCAAATCGATGATGTATTACTAACAATTCAATAAAGTTGTCTTAAATTATGAAATATGTATATAGAATCAACTGTTTTCTGAACAAGTCAGTAATAACTGAATGTACACGTACGGTTGTATAAAGAGGTTTTTTATAATGCCCATTAGGATAGGCACGAGAGCGTTATTTTTTTTTGGACAGCAGAAATAAAAATATCATAAATATTCTTAACAGCGTTGACATGTCAAATCAGACTAGGTATATTGCAAGTGTATATGACACTGCATGTATAGCACTGAACTATATATCAACCATTCTTCACTTGTTGTTTGCTACAAAAAAGCTCTTGAAAATATACTGTATAAGCATTTTGTTTTAGTAATTTAAAAAAAACCATCAAAAAACGAAATTGTTATCTTGAGCATCCACAATTAGATCTTATTTTAAAACATGTCTTACAGCTAATTTTCATTTGTCCAAAAAAGGTAAGCTAAACATCTGAAAAATAATTTTGATTCGTCCAAAAAAAATTTAACATCGTCTGAATTTGAAGTAGAAATACTGTATATGCGGGTTTGGACAAAAGTTCTTTGCGTACATCGAAACAGCGTGATAGATAGCTGTCGGCTCTGACGTTTCTGGATTTTTCCTTGTCATGAATGTTAGAAAAATCAGGTGTTTCGATTATATATGACGAGAAACTTCCATCCTGCATCAGAAGCGTCGACGTAGATGGTTCTTACTGGCGTTATGAATGGCACTTGCTGAATTGGAAGGCTGTTCTTCGTAGTTAAAAATATCTTCCACCAGGCAGTTTCTGACTTCGCCCATTGTAATGTCTTGCATGGTCGGACCCAATATTGTCTGTTCTGTTGCGAGCTCTTAGCTAAATATCGTTGCAAATGTTGGGGAGTGATTCTATGGTATGCCTCAGTACATGGATGGCTATGACAGTGTTCCTCAGCGAATCTTGGCCTAATTACAAACCAATATTCACCAGCGGCCTTATAAGTAATTCTGATGATAAATTGACATCCATTCTTGAAAGACGTGGCTTGTCTTTCTCCATTAGGTCTTGCTTTGTTTTGAGAAAAGCGATCACTAATTTGCAAGTCAAAAACAATCTTCTTTCGTCTTCAAATTTTGATCTGACCAAAAGCATATGCTCTCTTTCTGCCCACCCATAAATGATATCTATAAGAGAATCAAGGCTTTGGAATTGCATAGTAGAGGTAACGGGCAGACGCATTCCTTCTTCAACAAATGTATAGTCTTCGTTTGAAATAAGTTGCTTATTTCCGAGCTCAATAAAGGTAGTACATCTTTTGCACAAGGTTACAAGAATAGGCTCCTGAAAGCCATCATTGTCAGAAAGATAGCTTTGGTTTGAATTCATGTGTTAAATAAAAAGAACAACTAATCATTTGTTATTTCGTCGCTTCTTGTATGATGAGACAATACTAGTATGATAGAGACAGAGCACAAATAGTGCTGAAAAGAGGTTTATCACTCGTTCTTGTGCTTATAGTTTGGGTAATTAATATAAGCAAGATGGGCAACATTTTACATCAGCATCAACTGTTGCTCTTACTTGTACACTAATGGGTGGTTGCTCCAAAGACTTAAGTATATGCTCATGTTCCCATTTTGTGTCGCCGTTTCTATATGCATCTCCATTACTGTCCAGTAAAGTTTTCGAAATTATATTCTTCACGCCAGGATATATCAGAATGAATTTACTCATTTTATCAGGACTAAACTGTTCACTAAAGGGTATTCTGAATGCTAGTAAGCCTTCTATTTGCATAGAGCAATATTAGTTTTCTAGCCAGATGGAATTCATCACATTAAAGTTACCTTGAGAAGTCATGAAAACGCAATATAATCGGAACCACAGCTTTGCAGTTCCACCATCCAAGAGAAACAATGGTTATGGTTACGGTTACAGGTACGTTTGGTCAAGCTTATGGCTAAAAAGATATACTACTTGAGGAATTATACTAAGGAGGTAGGTACTTCTTTTGTCTACGCATCCACCTCATAAAGATAAGCATAATGTTGAACAACAATAATCTAGGAGTCAGGCAGAATGACTAAATAGGGGCTGCATGATGTATATATTGATTGGCTACTTGTTCTTGAATTCTGATTGGCCTATTGTATGCTAATATACATGCTATGCACAAATTTCAATCTCAATAGGATGGATCTTGTTCAAAACCATCCTGCATAAATATGAATGTATGTTGAAGCATTTCAACTCTCCGTAAGCTTTCCTTCATTCTCTACAGTGTAAATAGCTCTCGTTGGCTGCACACACACATACGTACACACACACACATATATATATATATATATATATATATATATACATATATATATCATCATGTCATGTGGCTTAGAGCTAGTCACAAAAATGAAAAAATCAACAAAAAAGTGGGGGTCCCTTTTTTTTGTCCTTTCGTCATCCACTTCTTCTTGTTACGTCGACTTCTTCGTCATCAAAAAAGTTATTCCCGACTATTATCCAATTAAATAAAACGCATATAATATCAACTATTAGGTAAGAGAACAACAAGATATATACAGGTATATAGACTGTATGTGGGTTTATGATACACGCATATACAGTCTATGTGTGTATGTATATATATATATTTTGTGTGTTTATTACAACCCTATATTTATCATGGTACTCATATACTTCTTGTTCTCTTTCTCTTCTTTTGTTTTTGCTACGTCACCTTTTAATTTTCAAATAAATCTATTTCAAAAGCAGTTCACATGTCTGAAGCATCTTCTCCTATCTCAAACGAAAACAAAGGCTTTGACTTGGCTGGTGTAAAGCGTTCTGCAGATGAACCCAATGAATCAAGAGACTCGAAATCAGCCAGATTGGAAGACGTAGCGAAAACAACTGAAGGTAGTTCACAAGACAATACGAGTACTACTGGACCTGTTGAAGAACCATCAACAGTGACTGAACAAGCCAATCCATCACCTACGCCATCTAACAGTCATCCCACGACAGATGCACCAGAAGAAAACAACACATCCAACAGAACGCTGTTGACGATACAACAACATCCTCCTCCAGCTGCTTTGCATCTACTTAGTGAATCGCAACAACAACAACTTATTCAATCCTATGTTCATGCACAAGGTCATCCTGATTTGGCTAACCTGACAGCTTCTTCTTTGGCACAAGCCATGGTGTCACCTATTGCTGTGCCCACATTGGCCTCTAACTTATTGCAGCAGCTTCAACAAGGCGGTAATGTAATCACAGCCTTACCTGGTCCACCTCCACAATTACCCCACCATTATCATGCACAACCACCCAATCACCCGGCTGATTTGACTGAAGGTAATGCGACTACAGGCAATAAGCGAGCCAATTCACGTAGCTTGTCCAATGATGAGCGACGTCAACGCCGTTTGTTACGAAACCGTGTGGCTGCTAAAGAATGCCGTAAAAAGAAAAAGCAACATATTCATGAAATGGAAGAAAAGATTGTTAAATTGGAAGAAGAAAATGCCAAGTTGGCTAAAGAAGTGGAAGAACTCAAGGCCAAGTTATCTTTGGGTGCAATGCAAGGATCAGAAGGTTATCGTTTAATGAAGGAAGTGGAAGAATTGAACGCTAAATTAGGTATGAGTGGTGCCTTATCTTCCAACAATTTAAACATGGCTTCCATCAATAATCAACCTTCTAACAACAACAACAATACCGAGACTGAAACACAATCTACAGAACCCATTGCTCCTCTAGATTCCACTTCTACTACTACTACTGCTTCTTCTACTACTCCTTCTACTTCTCCTCCACCTCCTACTTCTCATGCCACATCTACTGTAGCAGTTTCAACAGGAATCTAATCCATACTATCTTTAATTAAAAAGTGGAATAAGCCAAATCATCCTCAGAAGACTATATACATATATAAAATGGAAATGAGTCTATATGTTGATAAAATAAAATGCCTTACATCTTCATCATAATTTCTAATATCGTATATAGATAAGTTAATACACTTCTATAAATGACTACAAACTTACGGCTCTCCTAATACACCTTGAAGATCTCTTATTTGATTCTTCAAGTCATTTTTGACACTAATTAAATGTCGAATATGATCTACAGCTATTCAAATCGAATCAGAAGGTTTTCCCACGCCAAAAAGAGCTTACATTTCTGTAAAATAAACGCTTCAGATCGATTGCCCTGTGTTAATGAAGGCACAATTTCAATTAACTGGTCAAACCCTAATCGAATATTCTGTCTACGCTTCTTCTCGGATGCAATATGATTTGCTTTCTTTTCTGCATCTGTTAATAATTCATGAGGTGCTTTACGTCCTTTTCTTTCTTTTTTAGCTGAAGTATTTTCTTCAGACTCATAGCTTCGTTTTTTTGTGTTTGGAGATGATGAGGAAGAGGCTGTTTCCTCTTCTTCTACAGTTGTCTGTTAGGTCTTATCTTATAAAAAACTAGTTAGTTTACCGGGTATAGTGAGTGAGTTTTTATAACCACTTTTATCTTGTGTTGGTGTTTGTGTCATTGCAATCAAAGAAAAGAGAAAGAAAAGAAAAAGAAAAAGAAATAGAAAAAGACTGGAAATGAATGTGATTTATTTTCACGTGAAAGCGGAATGTCTCACTGTTGTCATGACGAGAACCTTATTGTTGCCATGGATCTATGAATTATGCTTAAATTACTGCTTAAGGCTGATTTCATTTGAAAAAAGCAAGTAATACACAAATAGAAGCCTGCTTTTTTTCTTTGTATTACTTCACTATAAGTATATTACTTGATGCATAATCACACCTACAAAGAAGAAAGTGTTAGGACGGGAAATACATCTTCAGATTCAATCTATGAGCCCTATTACTGTTCTCGGCTTTGTTGTGTCAAGAAATGAAATAAATTGTCATTGATCATAAAACCATCTTTTTTTCAATCAGAGATTATTGCGCTACGAAAAAAAAAAAAGAGAGAGAGAGTACTGAGTATCCATATAGTAAAACAAGTTGATGATAATAAACAATGAAATTTCCTTTATAAGCAAATATTCTTTTCAAGTATCTTTTTTTAGCAAGGCATTTTACGTGCATGCACTATCAAGTATATGATTCATGTAACATATGCATTAAGCAAGCAGATGCTTTGGTAATGAAAAAAAAACTATCAATTCATACAGATACTTATCTTTTTCTTAGGCATACAAAGGTAACACAAAGCCTGTTTAGACACACATAAATGCTCTAAATACCTAGAAACCATGTTTACTAACATCTATGGTATCTTTGGAATTGATTTGGACAACAACAAAAAAAAAGCGACTTGTCAAAAATAGCCAAAATGACCTTTTAACCAAAGGGTATTACTCATGGAAATCTTGAGTTTGACAATGTTAGATCCTTTTTTTTGACGCTACAAGACGAAAAATGGAGCTATCGACAAGTCTAAACACTCAACATATGCGTCAAAAGCACTAGTTTTTGGCATGTGTATTTGCGTAACAATCGTACTATAAAAGTGATACGGTAGGAACGAAAAACCTCGTGAGCATTTTTGCCTATTTGCTCAGTATTTCAGCAACAAAACTGCTGTGTTCTTTATATCAATAGACTCACAATGCAAAAATCCACAACTTTCGTCACTACACCAAAGCTCAACAACTGCATTTTTATAGAGTTCCCAGCAAAAGCTCGATTTTTTTTTAATGATTTTATTTGCCGCACGTATCAGTGGTCCTGAGAGGGACCCATTAAAAGAGGTGCTCGATAATCATTTATTATAAGAGGGTCAAAAGAAACAAAAGGGGACTACAATTTCAAAAGTACAAAGAAATCAAGAAAAAAAAAAGAGCAGCTGTTACGAGGAGAGACCTCTCAAGGTGAAAGGTCATTCTCAGCAGCTATACGCTTAATTTGATAGCGAGTGCTGTGAAGGACAGAGAGGTAGTGGAACTGATGATTCTGCATGGTATGAGCCCAATGGGCCTTCTAGATCTCAGAGAGACCGATCAAGGTTACCATGGCTACTGAAAGAGGACAGTTGGTTTAAGCCCGAATCTGAGAAAAATTGAACGATGCAAGTGCATCTGAAACCAGATCCAGAGAGGTGCCTGGCCACAAAAACTCCCTGATCAAGGCATCTCAGAACGGAAATTCTTTGGGGCAGCGAAAGAAGAAATGATAGATCGTTTCCTGATTACCACACAAAATGCAGGCAGCAGTGGGAAAGCGAGCAGGAAAAATCTTAGACAAAAGCATGCGAATGGGAACCTTTCGGGTAAAGCTCGATTTTGATGCGGCGGCGAGAAGAACTGGAATTACTTTTCATTTCAATCTCCACAAATGACCATCTGGTAAATCCTGTGTTCGTTTGCCCCCACATTTGCATTATAAAATGCCTATCTTTCTACTTTTCTATATTTTTTTTTTTTTTTTTTTTTTGGCATTCGAAGTTATACTAAGTGCTTTAAAGACAGTAGCTGTTCACAAGTTTTATATGACATTGAGCAAAAACCCTCAATCCAGGGCCTAAACATGCCAATCTTTGATGAGCCGTTACTCAACAACCAGACTATTAAAACGATCCGTTTTTTTTTTTTTTTTTTTTTTTTTTTTTTGTTTTTTGTTTAGAACATGTCCCTTTGAGCCAAGGAATCGAATGGTACCATTGGTCTGGTAGTTTTATCAAATTTGTTTTTTTTTGACCCATGAGGGATCCACGGAGGCCCGTGAAGATGAAAAAAAACAAAACTCGATCAAGAATTTTTCGGAATGACCCCAATGTAGGTCTAATCTTACCAACATCAGAAAAAACGATCTCTAGGTACTTCCAAAGAGAAGAAAACGAGTTTGCTAAGATGAAAACGTCGACTCAATCTGAGCATTGCCTTCAAATATACATCCAAAATTCGTTGCACACTGTAACTGATAGAAAAGAAGCCCTTTTTAGGAGATATTGACTAGCAAGAGGGCACTTGTTTCTACACTACGTGATGCGTAACATGTGCATGATTAAGACATATTATAGCACATGACGCTTATGAGCCCAAAGAGAGCAACTTTGAACATGACAAGTAATAAATACAAACCAAAAGAAGGGTTCGGTATTTCAAATACCGTTTCTCTTTTTGCCTGGGATACTAGTGTACTCTCTGCTTTGACGAGTATTTCTTTCTTGTTCTTCAATAGTTCAAACTGTATTAAACGATCCAGGTACAACTGCATATGTCTTGTGCTACCACTTTGTAAGCCTTGGCGGCAATCGAAATTCATTATTATGCAGCTATATGTAAAAGCATTGTCATATAAAATAGTGTTATGACCACTGTGTCAATCTAATAATTTGAAAAAGCATAGATCATGTACCTTTGTACTTATTAATATAGTTTCTTTATCTTTATGACCCTCAATAAACCCTTAAAAGACAGTCATAGAAAGTTGGCAGAGTATGACTGAGGCTGAATAGTAGTCAGGGAACTCATCAGAGTATAAAAACATCTATTGTTTGTATCCTTTTTATGTCCTATGATTGCTTCATCTTCGGTTACAAGAAGAAGGTCACACTCTGGTGGGAGAGTTACGAAATCAATCAAAAATTACATTACCGGTAACAGAAATATCATTGTTGCCTGACTCAATTTTTCTTTTTTGTGTGAAGTTGAGGTTGGTCGTAGCATGGCCTTCATGCTGTGTGAGATGGCGGCTCAGTGTAGAGGGAGTTGCAAGCTTGTTTGAGCATCCAGATTACGCGAATCTGCCATCAAAATAGTTTCTAAAAAACAGGTGTAAAGATATCATCTCTAACTTTTAAAGATGCATATTTACCATCAAAGAAAACGGGTTTAACCTTTATTTTTGTTGGGATTCTGAAACCAAGGTTGTAAATGCCACACTTGTAGTTGTTGCTTTCTTCCATGGTTCAAAGAGCGGTTTTCTTAGGGACCACTCGCTATTGGACATGTTCAAACCGAAATCCGCAGAGTACTAGATAGAGAGGAGGTAGCTAAAGAGCACTCCATCCACTCCAAAAAGCAATCACTTTTGTATGAGTATGCATTTCTTAAAGAAGAGGAAGAAATTATAGTTATTTTACAGAAAGAAAAAGTGATTTCTCAAAATCATTTTCAACAGATCATTTTATCACACAAAGAAACCAGTTATTTATCAAATAAATGTTTTATTTGTGTGAAAAAATAATATTGCATAATGAAAAGAATAGAGATATTACAAAACTAATAGCAGCTATAATGTCAAAGTGCTCTTTTTTGGAGTGGACGAAGTATTCGTCATTAAAGAAATAGAAATACGTTTATGCATTTTGTATTTTTTAGGACTGCCCCTTCCTAACCACAGTGATGTGAACCATCCCCCCCTCTATCCGGTATTCTGCGAGTTTCGGTTTGAACATGTACTGCTTAAAAAAATCAACCAATTAAATTCGAAATCTTGACGAATATTTCCAATGTAGTGACCAATTAAGACTGGAAATACTGTACAAATAGTTATTTAATAATACAAGACAAGTCTTTAGCTCTAAAAATTCATGATAAAGGTTTATTTGTTCTTAATTGGCAAATACTTTGGTTGACGTCAATTTTCTCTGTTCCAAAGACAATACACTTTGACTCCGTATTTAAAATCCAAAAAAATAGTGACTGCAATCCTCTTTTCTTTCTTTTGATAAAATTATGCAGTTGAGGACACACTATGGACAAACAGCGCAAGTCCAGTTTAACTACTTTTGATTTCCAAATACCTGAAGAAAACAATAATGAAGAGGGAGTACTGTCAAAGATACTTGATAAAGTATTCCACGCTGTTTCAGGGCCTGAGAATACAGAACATCGAAGCCTCAACGATAATAATCACAAACGCGACGCACCAAAGACAATACCTCCTTCTACAAGTACTAACTCGAGCCTAAGCAAGCATTTGACTACAGCTTCTTCTTCTTCGACAACTACTATTTGTTCAAACAAAGATCCTTCTGTTTTATCTATTCCTACCACTCCTACTACAGCTGTCATACCACGCTCACCTGCTTCAACAACTGTAACAACAACGGCAACAGTAACCGTAGGAAATCAAAAGCTGGATGTATTGCCAATGAATGAGCATACTAATGCTACAGTGCAATTTAATATGCCAGCCACGAGTAAAAGCAGTGGACGATCACAAGAGCAAGAAGCACTTGACTATTTGCTTCATTCACCTTTGTCGAAAAGAAGATCCATCGACAGTGACACTCAGTCAGTGGTTACCAACTTTTCTATTTCGAATTCAAATTCCTTGTCTCGAATATTAGCCCGTTTGCGAGGACAGAAGAGCGATAAAGAGTTTTGGATGCCAGATGAACAATGCAAAGAATGTTACAAGTGCCGTAAACCATTTACTATTTTAAGGCGAAAACATCATTGCCGTATATGTGGTACGATATTTCAAATCAAGAAAACACAAGAGCATTAATGAAGGTAAAATAGGTCAAATCTTTTGTGCAAAATGTGCATCGCATGTCATATCAGGAAAACTGTATAAACAAAAGGGTCAAGTTCGAGTATGCAACTTTTGTTATTCAGAGCAGTTGCAGCAACTTCATGAACGCTCTTCTACTATTACCATTAACCTACATAATGACTATTCAACCAAACAAGCGAATGTATCTCATTTTCATATAGAACATCAACCTCAACAACAAGAACAACAAGAACTGTCCCAGGGAGAATCTTATGCATCACCTATTATACCATCACAAAAGCCTCCTCTTGAAGTTCCTCAAATGCAGATACCAACTACAGCATTAAAACAAGCTCGAAGTGCATATGGAAATGACAATGCGACAACCACTACTTTTGCTTTAGAACTTCCAGCTCGAGGCTCTGAGAGCTATATGGGCACTTCACCTCAGATCAATCATGATTTCTATGGGATTAACGATAGACCACATTCATCCACAACCTTTCATGGTGATCCAGGCATTGAATCGCTCACAATAACTCATAGCAATATTCCAACAATCACAACTACAGGAGCTTCTAGTACAGATGTCACTGTAAATACAGGTGGCTTGAAACGCTTGTTTGATGCAGGCACATCTTTACTCAAGTCAACATCAAGGCCGAGATCAAATACATCTTCTTCTGCACCTCTGGAAGACACAACACGCCAATCACATACTACATGGTATCCTTCTTCGCCCTATGTGTCTGATCGTGGAGGTGGTACAGTACTGGCAGAATCCGAACTAAGTCCATTTCCAGGAAACAGCAACCCTACGATAGACTTTTATCAAGACCAATTGCACCATCATCATATCCATCATCACCACAATTATCACGATAGATATCATCAATCAGCACTTGGTCTGAATTCAATGGTAATGCCTTCCGGATTGCTTTCTCCACCACAGCTATCTTCTTCTCATGATATACTGTCAGCAAGAAATGAGTCATTGTTGCTTTCAGCCAATGTCAGTAGTCCCTTGCTTAGCAGCGTACCTACCATAGGCAGCGATGATGAATCTTATGACAATCGTTTAAGAATGAAACGTAGAGAGGAATTGCGAGGTAAAAATACTACTTCTGCTCGTCCTTCATTCAATTCGTTCCGAAGAACAAGCATTACAGGCAGCAACAGCACAAATGGAAATCGAAAATTACTGAGAAACAGCAAGATCCGCATCAACACTACTGGTCTTCCTAAATCCAGTTATTTTGATCCTGCAGATACCTATTCACCAAACACTTTACTTTCTCCTTTTGGTATAGACGACCTTAGATTTCAGCAACAGCAACAACAATCACAGCAGCAATTACAGCAGCCACAACAATTGCAACAAGAGCAGCAACAAGAACCTATAAATCGATTGCCTCGCCAACGCCGTATTTCAGGATTACCACAGACTGTTGAATTGAGTTTAAGTGCTCAAACTCATGCACGTAAAATGTTGAGGCAATTGATGGAGGGTATTGATTTAACTCAAGGAACAAAAGAAGAATGGGAGGAAGTGATCATGAATCTTTTACTTAAAGTAACAAACCATGTTCAGCCAGATATTCGAGCAGGCGACGACATGGATGTGAGACATTATGTTAAGATAAAAAAAATTCCTGGTGGGTTGCCTTCAGACAGTACATATGTTAAGGGTGTTATGTGCACCAAAAACGTTGCTCATAAGCGGATGGTGAAGAACATTTCAAATCCTCGTATCCTAATCTTGATGTTTTCTTTGGATTATTCGCGTATTGAAATGGAAAACCAGCTACTGTCTATTGCACCAGTGATTTCTCAAGAAAGAGAGCATGTTCGTAAACTGATAGGCCGCATTGTGGCATTAAAGCCGTCTTTACTTTTAGTGAAATCGACTGTGTCTCGATTGGCACTAGAGTTTTTATTGGAGGCAAATATCCCTGTTATCCATAATGTAAAGCATAGTGTCATTGAAGCTATAGCTAGATGCACTCAGGCAAGCATCGTCACTTCAGTAGATAAACTTCAGCATGAACTTTCGTTTGGTCGTTGTGGATCCTTTGAGATACAGACAGTGATGCATGAATGGATTGCAAACAGGCGCAAGACATTTTTAGTCTTTGATGATTGTGCTCCTGAACTAGGTGGTACTATTGTACTGCGTGGAGAAAAATTGGAGACACTTCGGGTCATCAAACGATTGATTGATTTCATGGTGTTTGTTGTTAATAATCTAAAGTTGGAAACATCCTTGTTATTGGATTCGTTTGCAAAAAACCGTGGATCCATAGAAGTAGATACTGGAAGTAAGAAGCTACCTGACATTTCAATAGAAGACAGTGGGACTATCACAACATCTCTACATGAAGAAGAAGACAACGAACCTGCTAATTCTCATTATATCAATGGCTTAATCAATCTATACAAAAACACAATCCTTTCTGTCTCGCAATCTGTCAACTTTTCTCCTCCTTATTTGCTGCTAGTACTTAAAGAAACTGAGGACAAGTTGGCTTTGATACATGAACAAAAACGTCGCAAGTCTGTTTCTGGTTCTTCTATCATTACAAATTCTACTGTAGTAAACGGTAAAGAAATGGTACTATCTACTTCACCAACAAAATCTACATTTGACAAACAGTCTATAGATCACTATCACTTTCAAAGAATGGATAATGATGCTTTGATGGACGCAGAATATGAATTGCTTACTAAAAACCAACAAATCTCAAGAGCTTGGGATGCTTATATAGGGGAAAATCCTGAGTCCATCTCACCCTTTTATCATCAAAATATTGTGGTCTTGTATTCTAGTGTTTGTACAGTAACTACTGTGCCTTGTCAAGGACCTGAAATTCGTGTTTTTAGTTTTTATCGCTTTCCTTCAGACAAGACGCTTGGTCAATATATTATGGATTTATGTAATGATGCTCAAGAAAGCTGTTCTTCATTTATGTGTGATCACGCAATGATACAGCACTACAGATCTTATGCACACGGTAATGCACGCGTGAATGTCATGATTGAACGCTTTCCTTGTCCTTTACCTGGTATGTCTGACAAGCTCTTAATGTGGAGTTATTGTAGAGAGTGCAACAAGCCTACACCAGTATTGCCCATGTCTGAAAACACTTGGAATTATTCCTTTGGTAAATTCCTAGAGATCTTTTTCTACCAAAAGGGCGTTCATTGTCGAGCTGACATTTGTCCTCATGATATAACACAAAACCATGTGCGTTACTTTGGTTATATGGATCTTACTGTACGTTTTCAATATGACTCTATTGACTTGTTGGAGGTAGCTGTGCCGCCTATGAAACTGTTTATTCATAGTCAAATTCAAAGAGACATGAAGGAAGCTGAACTCAAATCATTAAGACTGAAAATCAACAAATTCTACCAGTCCATCATTGAACGAAATAAGGCTTTTCCTTTTGATTTGGTTGATCCACACAAACTGGAAGCCTGTAAGGCTGAGCTGCAAGACATGTCTTTGGAAGCACAAGGTGAAAAGAAAGACGCTTTACAACTTGTTCAAAATGTATATGCTACGTCAGACCCTCATGACACTTTGACAATCAATGTTGTTAGACGCAACCTTTTCCAAGTAGTAGCTCATTGGGATGCTATCTATACTGATTTTGTCCAATACTATTTGCAGCCTGAACGTGAACTCAAAAAAATCACTACTAATCAACTCAGAAAGATGTTTCCTACAGACATAGCTGATACTTCTAATCTCAACAATATGGGTAATGAACGTACTAAAAGAGCAACTGAAGTGACTGATCTTCCCTTGCTTGGCATTGGCTTGGATGGAGAAGACGATGATACCATCATTGGACATATCTTTAAGCGCAAGATAGCGACTAACAAGGCCAATGAGGCGAAGTCTAATCAGCTTATTATGCCTATGCTATCCACTTCACCTTCTGAATGCCTACCTATGCTTTACGATAAAAAGGAGCGACAAGAGCTAGAAAAAGAAAAAGCAAATGCCTCTCAAAAACAACCTGTAGAATCGAGCCACAAGAACTCGTTTTTACCTTCAGAGATACGACGTCGCCTTTCTCTTGATCTAATGCATGAATTAAACGAGAAATTCAAGACAACTGGTGATGGAAATAAGCCTACAGGCTTAATATCGCTCAATCGTATGACGTCCAACAAGTATCTGCGCATCAAAAGCCCAGGTACTTTATCTGCTGCTTATACACCCTCTCGTATCCCTATATTACGACATCAGCATAGTAACACGCCACCTATTTATCAGCCGTTCAGTCGCTATAAACGCAATACTTTGGATTCTTTTGTTGACAATAACCTGGATCTGTATCGCCAACAAAAAAGAGATTCTGGCGATAGTATAGACCAAAGTCCTGTATCAAGAGGACCAATCGAGGATCGTCTGCGTAGAAAGCATTATCGCCATCATTCTATTGGACATAGTCAAGATATTCATGCACGAAATATATTTAAATCCCAGTTTGATGATGAAAATGACGATGATGAAGCAGAGGATGAACATAGTGGCTCGAATAGTTTTTTGAGAAGAAGCTCTACTACAAAAGGAGAACGTCGGTTCAGATCACGGTTACCTCGAAAAAAGACATATATACAGGTTTATACTCGAGCAAACGATCTTGTCACAGAAGATATGGATGATGAATTTGGTGGTGGACTGGGTACAGTTGGGGATGATATGTCTTCTATTTCTTTAAGACAGCCAAGATCCATAAAAAAGCACAGATATGATGATTTTGGTGATGAAACAAAAAGAAGAAGCATGTTTGCGTCAAGCTTGTCTCGCTATCACCATGATAATAGTATGGATGCTGACAATGATGATAATGATATTCTAGATGACTCTGACGATGATTCTGACAGCAATAAGCTCAAGACCAGTACTAAAATTGATTACTTCACTTCTTTGGCTCCTTTCGCAAACCAAGTTGTTGAAAATGAACGATTGTCTGAAAGTTTGTTGAGAAAAAGCACAAAGACAATGTCCAGCGAGAATGCTCTGATACTAAAATCACCTGTTTCCTTCAACGCATATTCATACGAAAGGCCTTGTTTTGCTTTAAGTGATGGTCAAATGGATTTCTCTTCTGGCATGTCTGGCGAAGAAGAAGGTAGTCAACGCATTTTGCCTAAAGCCAACGAACTGCTCAAGATACAAGCTCCCTCCAATGAAGAAAATTTGAATTTTAGCGACTTGCATAATATTCATCCTGATATTATACTTGATCGTGTAGCTAGCGTTGCAACAGAAGGAGAAAAATCTTTTGTAGAGAATTTAGAAGAGATTCGTCATTCTGCAGAAAAGAGTTCTTTTATGAAGACTTTGACCAACTTTTTAACGGATAGTGGTGTTGGAAACCTGTTGCCTTTAGAATCTCCTCTGTAAGTGTGTATATTCATCTTTTTTTTTCTCTACTAACTTTACTATTATTAGACAACCAACTGAACACTTGTTTCCTGATTCGTATGTTGTTGTAAAAGAAGATGAGCCGAGTACGATTATCGCTTATACCTTAAGCTCTGAAGACTATCTTGATAAAATGCATGATATTCAAGACTTGACTTCGGAGGCTGGATCTAATGATGGCACAATTAAACTCGGAAATGCTTCCATCATGGATGCCAAAGCACCTTCTGAAATTACAACGCTAGATTATGGAGCAGATGCTCAACATTCGCAAATTGCGGATGACATCCAAGAAACTCTACTAAGAGAATCTGGAACTCATATGCGATACAGTAAGTGTTTAGTCTAACAGGCAAATGATCCAACTTTTTTCTTGTAGATTTCTCAACAGGCTCTACTAAATTCTTTTGCAAGATTTTCTTTTCTGAACAATTCGACGCTTTGAGACGCAACTGTGGATGTGATGAGAGCTTCATTATGTCTTTGGCAAGTTGTATTAAATGGGATTCCTCAGGAGGAAAGTCAGGATCAGCTTTCTTGAAGACAAAAGGTAAATTGCTTTTTATGACTAACTGAACTAAAATATGATCATAGATGATCGTTTGTTGATGAAGCAATTATCAAAATATGAATTGGATGCTTTTCTTCGCTTTGCTCCTGCATACTTTCAATATATGTCAGAAGCATTCTTTAGTGAGCTTCCTACTGTACTTGCAAAAATTTTTGGTTTTTATAGCATTGGATATAAAAATTCAGCCACTGGAAAATCAATGCGAATGGATGTGTTGGTTATGGAAAACTTGTTTTATCAGAGAAATGTCAAGAAGGTAAGACTAGTGTAGTGAGTAATAATAAACTAATTTCTTTTAAGATCTTTGATCTCAAGGGATCCATGAGAAACAGACATGTTCAATCAACAGGAAAACAAGATGAAGTACTCTTAGATGAAAACCTAGTAGAATGTAAGCGCAAAGAAAAGACAACAATACTGAATCTGTTTTTTTTTAGTGATTTATCAATCGCCATTGTTCATTCGTGCACATTCCAAAGAAATCCTTCGAAGTTCGCTTCATAATGACACTCTCTTTTTATCAAACAGAAATGTCATGGATTATTCTCTACTTGTTGGTATTGATGAGGAAAAGCAAGAATTGGTAGTCGGTATTGTTGGTAAGTATTGGATCAAAACAAACATAGAGCTTAACATTGCCATATAGACTTTATTCGAACCTTCACTTGGGATAAGAAGCTTGAGAGTTGGGTGAAAGAATCAGGCATACTAGGTGGTGGTGGAAAAGAACCTACGATTGTTTCACCTCGCCAGTATAGAATCCGATTCCGAGAAGCCATGGAACGCTATTTCTTAATGGTGCCTGATTTTTGGGCATTGACTAGGCAGAGCAAAACCTCATACTCTGCTTTACATCATCATCACTTGATAAATGCCGAGTCTGATAGAGAGACATGAGCAATTTCATAAAATATGTGCACTTGTAAATATATTATTCTTTAAAAGCAGGATAATCTGTATAGCCTTTGGCTTCATGATTATAGAAAGTGGAATAATCAAAAGGAGAAAGGGGTTGGTTGTGTCTAATTCGATTAAGAAGATCAGGATTTGAAATAAAGAGTCTTCCAAACGCAATCAAGTCTCCTGTTCTCTCAGAATAGTCGATAGCATGGCTTATTGACGATGAAGAAGAAAAGCCACTTGATATGATAGGGCCTTTCCAGATAGACCTATAAGGAGCTGCAAGATCCTTATCCAGTTCATCGTCTTGTCTTCTTTCCATAAAATGAACATATGCCATATTCGGCCAATTCTGTTGTAATTGAGATAACAAGTAGCTACAAGTCTTGATAGGAAACTCTTCTGTGGCATCATGAAAAGCTCCACCACCTGGGGATACTCGAATACCCGTTCTTTCAGCACCTACGGCACCTGCCACTGCTTTGACAACCTGAAGGGTAAATCGACACCTATTTTCGATTGGACCACCATACTTATCTGCACGATGATTACTAGAGGTGTTGATAAACTGGTCCAACAAATATCCAAATGCAGAATGTATTTCAATGCCATCAAATCCAGCTTTCTCAACGGCATTGACTGCTGCTTGTGCAAAGTCATCAACGATGCCATCAATCTCAGAAGTTTCTAAAGATCTAGGCATTTCAAAGCCTTCTCCTAAAATACCAGTTCCTGTGGCAGCAATAGCTGATGCTGAAACAACTTGTTCTTTGTTAGAGTTAAGATCTCGTTTTCCTGTACGTCCACTGTGCCATAATTGTAAATAGATAGAGCCACCCTTTTGGTGAACCGCATCTGTCACTTTCTTCCAACCATCAATCTGCTCTTTGCTATAGATGCCAGGACCATATGGATATCCTCTTGCTGTAGGGCTTATAGCAGTGCATTCGGTAAGTAATAAGCCACCTGTAGAACTTCTTTGCGAATAATATTCCACTTGCAAATCAGTAGGAACTCCTGTTACTGTAGCTCTTAATCTTGTAAGAGGTGCCAACACAACTCGATGTTGTAATCTTAAGTTTCCCACTTTAATGGGTGACAAAATAGCTTTAGTTTTTTTGTTGGTCGTCATTTGATGCACTAATACAAAGAAAAAGAAAAAATTTACTACTATTAATCTGAAAGTCTAGACTGATTCATCAATTCGTTTTCGTAATCAGAAATATGAAAATTCGAGAATTGAATAATTTGACAGGTTCAAGGAATTGCGGGTGATGTAATTGTACATAAATTTTCAACAACAGACCCGATCAAATCTGAGATCAACTTATGTATCTCGATACAGTCAAACCTATGGAATTTAAGATTTTGTCTTTTTTTTTTTTGAAAACGCCAAATTCCTTGTTCCTTTTCTGAAAAAGAGTGATTAGATAAGAAGAGAAGGCAAATCATTGCACATGCAAACATGATATATTGTGTTCAATTTTAGCGGTATCTGATCCATCATCATGAGCTATAGTATCCATTAGTTATCTCTTGCATCCATTACATGCTACTTCTTAGTGAAAGTGGCTTGTAAATAGTTTTTAAACTACTACAATTCTTCGGAGGCTTCTAACCCTAGAGCTTTGTGCTTATTTTGCAAGGCAAAAAGAGAAACGGTATTTGAAATACCGAACCCTTCTTTTGGTTTGTATTTATTACTTGTCATGTTCAAAGTTGCTCTCTTTGGGCTCATAAGCGTCATGTGCTATAATATGTCTTAATCATGCACATGTTACGCATCACGTAGTGTAGAAACAAGTGCCCTCTTGCTAGTCAATATCTCCTAAAAAGGGCTTCTTTTCTATCAGTTACAGTGTGCAACGAATTTTGGATGTATATTTGAAGGCAATGCTCAGATTGAGTCGACGTTTTCATCTTAGCAAACTCGTTTTCTTCTCTTTGGAAGTACCTAGAGATCGTTTTTTCTGATGTTGGTAAGATTAGACCTACATTGGGGTCATTCCGAAAAATTCTTGATCGAGTTTTGTTTTTTTTCATCTTCACGGGCCTCCGTGGATCCCTCATGGGTCAAAAAAAAACAAATTTGATAAAACTACCAGACCAATGGTACCATTCGATTCCTTGGCTCAAAGGGACATGTTCTAAACAAAAAACAAAAAAAAAAAAAAAAAAAAAAAAAAAAAAAAACGGATCGTTTTAATAGTCTGGTTGTTGAGTAACGGCTCATCAAAGATTGGCATGTTTAGGCCCTGGATTGAGGGTTTTTGCTCAATGTCATATAAAACTTGTGAACAGCTACTGTCTTTAAAGCACTTAGTATAACTTCGAATGCCAAAAAAAAAAAAAAAAAAAAATATAGAAAAGTAGAAAGATAGGCATTTTATAATGCAAATGTGGGGGCAAACGAACACAGGATTTACCAGATGGTCATTTGTGGAGATTGAAATGAAAAGTAATTCCAGTTCTTCTCGCCGCCGCATCAAAATCGAGCTTTACCCGAAAGGTTCCCATTCGCATGCTTTTGTCTAAGATTTTTCCTGCTCGCTTTCCCACTGCTGCCTGCATTTTGTGTGGTAATCAGGAAACGATCTATCATTTCTTCTTTCGCTGCCCCAAAGAATTTCCGTTCTGAGATGCCTTGATCAGGGAGTTTTTGTGGCCAGGCACCTCTCTGGATCTGGTTTCAGATGCACTTGCATCGTTCAATTTTTCTCAGATTCGGGCTTAAACCAACTGTCCTCTTTCAGTAGCCATGGTAACCTTGATCGGTCTCTCTGAGATCTAGAAGGCCCATTGGGCTCATACCATGCAGAATCATCAGTTCCACTACCTCTCTGTCCTTCACAGCACTCGCTATCAAATTAAGCGTATAGCTGCTGAGAATGACCTTTCACCTTGAGAGGTCTCTCCTCGTAACAGCTGCTCTTTTTTTTTTCTTGATTTCTTTGTACTTTTGAAATTGTAGTCCCCTTTTGTTTCTTTTGACCCTCTTATAATAAATGATTATCGAGCACCTCTTTTAATGGGTCCCTCTCAGGACCACTGATACGTGCGGCAAATAAAATCATTAAAAAAAAATCGAGCTTTTGCTGGGAACTCTATAAAAATGCAGTTGTTGAGCTTTGGTGTAGTGACGAAAGTTGTGGATTTTTGCATTGTGAGTCTATTGATATAAAGAACACAGCAGTTTTGTTGCTGAAATACTGAGCAAATAGGCAAAAATGCTCACGAGGTTTTTCGTTCCTACCGTATCACTTTTATAGTACGATTGTTACGCAAATACACATGCCAAAAACTAGTGCTTTTGACGCATATGTTGAGTGTTTAGACTTGTCGATAGCTCCATTTTTCGTCTTGTAGCGTCAAAAAAAAAGGATCTAACATTGTCAAACTCAAGATTTCCATGAGTAATACCCTTTGGTTAAAAGGTCATTTTGGCTATTTCTGACAAGTCGCTTTTTTTTGTTGTTGTCCAAATCAATTCCAAAGATACCATAGATGTTAGTAAACATGGTTTCTAGGTATTTAGAGCATTTATGTGTGTCTAAACAGGCTTTGTGTTACCTTTTTCCGCCCACTTTAAGATAGAAAAGATATGTCTATTTTAAGAGGTTTAATGTTCTTTGCATAATTTAAACAATCCTTTTATTCAAAAGTGGTCATTTTCTCAAAAAGAGCATTGAATGGATGGAATACTTGTCTGAATCAACTTTTGAAAGAGAGATGTATTGTTCAACATAGACATACATCAGTCAGCACTAGGGAGAGGGGATTCCTTCATTCTATTATTTCCAAACTGTCACAGCACAAAGGGGTAAACTTGTAAAATAGTCATTGAGAAACAAACGTCAACTATAAAGAATGACTCAGTATTAGTGTTAGGAGAATTCAATCATAACGGTAAGAAGATCATCTAGACTGGTTTTTGTTGTATAAGGCGAAACCGTTGTTATATGAACAACACTGGAATAAGCACAGCAGCCAAGTATAATTCTGAAAATACTTGTCAAATAACCATTGAATTCTAGTTTCAATGCCTATCAGAAATACAAGTGCATTTCTCTCTTTTTTTTTTGTGTGTGTTACTTGTTTAAACATCCGTCAGTAACCAAAAATAGTATGTGCCAATCATTATCAAACAGGTCAACAAACTTATTATTAATCGTTCTTTTTTTTCTTTCTTTCTTTTTCTTTTGGCCTTCTTCTCTCCTTTTTTTTTTTTATATGCGCACACCTGCTTATATATTTCCAACGCTAGACGACGAACCCATAGTACCCAGCTTGAGTGACTACCATACAAAAGAAAAAACGGCTACTTCATCTGCTATTATGGATCACCAAACAACCAACACGACCTTAAGAACAACTCAAAAACCTTTGTCCAAAGAGGAGACAGAAGAAATAGAGTTGGACGCATTGATTAAAGACAAAGCACCTCGAGAATTTGAAGAAGAATCCCAAACATTACATAAACGAGACTATGGCAATTTTGCCCTGCTTGTCGTATTATGTAAGATCAAGATATACAAACAGAAGGAACTGACAAGTGTATAGATCTATTGCAAGGTATTCCTGTGGGCCTGTCGTTTGGTTCCATTCCATTTTTATTAAAGGCCAAATTGTCTTATTCACAAATTGGTATCTTCTCGCTCTCTTCATGGCCTTATTCGCTCAAATTGCTTTGGTCTCCTATTGTGGATGCTGTCTATAACCCTACCTTGGGTCGTCGTAAGTCATGGATTGTGCCTATCCAAATCCTGACTGGCATCTTGTTCTATCTACTCGGTAACCATATCGACCAAATGATGAATGCAGAACATGTTCCAATCTATACACTGATGTATTCATTCTTGACAACCATCTTCTTTTGTGCTACTCAAGATATTGCTGTGGATGGATGGGCATTGACTTTATTGTCGAAAGACTCACTTTCGTATGCATCCACTGCTCAAACGATTGGTTTAAACTGTGGTTATTTCTTGAGTTTTACTGTCTTTTTGAGTTTCAATAGTTCTGAATTCAGTAACAAGTATTTACGCAGTGTGCCTCAAGATGTGGGCGTTTTGGGACTAGGTGAATACATGCGATTCTGGGCTGTAATGTATTTGATCATTACTGCCTATTTGGTGTTTTTTAAGAAGGAAATCAATGTAGAAGATGAAGAAAGTCAATTGGGTATTGCTGGTGTCTATTCTACTATTTGGAAGATCTGTCAATTACCACGTAAGTCTCAACAGTGATGTGTGCGTCCTATATATCTCATACAAAAAGGGGCGGGATATTAGATATGCGATCTTTTGTGCTTGTGTTGTTGGTCTCCAAACTTGGTTTTATTTGTCATGAGGCAGCTACTTCATTGAAACTGCTAGAAAAGGGATTTTCAAGAGAAGATTTAGCGTTTTCTGTCTTGTTGGATTTCCCTCTTCAAATCTTTTTTGGTTATTATGCAGCAAAATGGTCCAATGGAACAAGACCTTTGAAACCAGTAAGTCCATTTATGTAGTTGCTATTATTCACTCGTTTTCAAAGTGGCTTTATGCTTTCTATGGTCGTTTAGCATGTTCAGCATTAGGGATGTTGATTGTAGCTGGCTATCCTCAAGGTCAATCTGTTGGCATGTTTTATTTTGGTGTGATCATGCTATCTACAGTGCTTAGTTCATTCATGTCCACTGTTCAATTTGTCAGTATTTCTGCTTTTATGACCAGTATTGCTGACCCAGTCATTGGTGGCACTTATATGACAGTAAAGTGTATAGTCTATCTGAAAGCATGAACTAACATTTGATTAGTTATTAAACACCTTTAGTAATTTTGGTGGTACATGGCCTAAATTCTTTGTTTTGGAAGCTGTGGATTATTTCACTGTCAATACATGCTCATTATCCAATGATGCTGGAGAAGGTAAATAAAACATCCATTTCTGTTTGATTGACTCTATATTGTAGTCATTGCATGTACAACAGACACAGGCAAAGAGCTATGCCAGCAAATCCATGGTACTTGTCAAATACAAAGAGATGGTTATTATACTGCAGGCACACTCTGTGTTGTTCTTGGTTTAGTTATGTTAATAGGCTACATTAAACCCACTGTCAAACAGTTGGAGAGATATCCCAAAAAGATGTGGCGATTAAATTCAGAAGCCAAAGAATAATAAACCTTTTTTTTTTTTTTCTAATGATGAAACCCTTTATTTTTATACTGCTATTACACTATGTGATAGTGGTCAACTGTAGCTTATTTTCTTCGACTGATATCTATATTTCAACAAGTATGTCTTGTTATTGCAATACTATGCTAATCTCTATCATAGATCCTGTCATGGTCTATTCGAATGGAACAGAAGTTGATTTTGAGAATGCATATCTAAAGACACGAGAGTTTAAGTCTGGTATTGTTCCCTTTGATAATTTAACACAACCTCCTTCTTCAGGCTTAGAGGTATATCCATCTATGAGACAACTTACTTATCATGGTTAGGGAACACTCTATGATAGAGGCTATTCTTGTCAACTCAATATCACACTACCTAGCTTTTCGAATATGACGAGTAAAATAGCACTTGTGAAAAAGGGAGGAGGCTGTAGTTTCTATCAAAAAGTGTATTATTCTGAATTGGATGGTGCTTCTGGTGTGATTATTTATGATGATATTCCATTTCGAGAAGATGATAATTCAGGATCCATGGTAATGATAGCCTATTCTTGTATGTTTGCTTACTTGACCATAGAAAATACACAAAGGCAACATTACCATCAGCATGTATTACGTAGACTTGAATATAGGACAAGAATTAACAAGCATGTTACAATATGTGAACACCTATCCAATCAACAGTCAGGATAATACAACATTTCAACCTGTCATTCGTCTGACAATGCATCCTGCTGTAGGTGGATTTCCTAGTGCTTGGGAATTTACACTGATTATTGTGGTTGCATTATTGGCCATTAGTTTTTTAGCTTCAGGTAAAGTAATGTGTTATCAGAGAAGACTATATTTAGTAATCCTTGTATTTTTGCTTTTCTTTCTTTCTTTCTTTTTATTATTATTATTATGACGATTTTCTCTAAAGTGGGTATGCATTGGCACCTATGGCGTATTCGAAGGAGACAAAGAGCCATGTTTGAAAATGGTCTATTGGAGAATGCAACACCCATCATGCCTCAAAAAAAGACAATTGAACCTGCTTCACTTGCCTTGTTTCCAACTCGTATGATTGGTGATACACCACCACTTACTCGAGTAGAATCCAGCCGCTCTGAACGATCCTCTAAAGCTATTGAGAATGCAGAAACACTGGTATCAGCCACTCTTCCTGTAGCCACAACACCGAATACACCAGACGACGTATGTGTGATTTGTCTGGATGAATTTGTACTGGGAGAACAAGTAAGAAAACTACCTTGTGATCATGAATACCATTGTGAATGTATAGGTAAGGATAAACTACTCACTTTATCTAGTGTATTTAATAGAGAACCATAGACCCATGGTTAACTATCAAGTCTGCTTCATGTCCTCTCTGTAAGCATGATTGTTCATTAAATGTGCCTAAATCAGAACAAGTGGAGCCACCTTCTTATTCATCCAATTCATTCTTTAATTCACTTCGATCACATCACCGCGGTTCTCCTTCAAGTGCTTTTGGACCTACTATCAGTGCAGACAGAGCAGAAGAATTCAGTCGATCCTGGATGGCTCGTAGTTTGCCTCGAAATATGCGTCGACAGATTGAACTTGCTGCTGCTGCTCAACAAGAAAGTGTGATTGAATTGCCTGCTCGTATGACACAAAATACCCCTACTGTTGCTCAAGAAGCCATTGTCTCGAATGACTTGGAAGGCAATAGTACCATATCAAGACGATTAGGACGCAAATTGATCAAGACTTTACCTCGTTTTGGAAATAGCAGTAGTAGTTGATATATATATATATCTATCTATCTATTGTATGTATACCTAATAATGACTAGTCATCTTTGTCTTTGAAGAAATAAAGTTGATCAGTCAATGAGCTTTCTTTTTCTTTCTTTCTATTTCTTTTTCTTTTTCTTCATATGTGGTTCCTATATAAGATTGAAAAGAACTTTAACTATGTTAGTAAAAGTTATATGAGACTACGTCCTGGTGCTCAAACAGCACTTGTGCCAGGAACAAGGCACCAAGGAGGTGTTCATGTAAAAGTGGGACCAATGTCATTGGAAGACACAGCAAGTAGATCTTATGCATACGATAGATATACTTAAACTATACAGGAAAATGCTAGTTTTAAGCCAATGTTAAAGTTACTCGTACAAGATCTCGATGTTCGTGTCGATAATACCAGTGTAGAACAAGAAACCTATTTGCACGATCAACAGATTATTCATTTAGTAGATTCCGATGTTCAATACAAGTAAACATACATCTCCTTTTTTTTTTTTCTTTTAGAAAGTATATATGAACTTCTTTATGTAGGATCTGTTGGGAAAGAATAGGTGTTTATCACTTGAAATCCAATGATCAGGATGTGCATCAACAATTAGTGGAAGCAGCCAAGAAATATGGTAAGAACAACTCTATCTCATTCAATGACTGATTTCCTCTAAAAAAAAAAAAGGCTTTCAACTAGTAGACAAAATAGAAAAGGCCACACATTATTATCTAGATGCCTTTCTGCTTGAACAAAAAGATCAACCACCTTATTCTCTTTTGATGGCTCTTGCTATGCGAGTACCTTGTGTTACACTAGAGTGGCTTGAAGGATTTCGTTTGCATGACCATCACTATGACAGAAACCAACATGATAAGACCATTGAGTCATTCATGATTGACTACTATGGTCCCTTAAAACGACTTGCTATCTTGGGTATAGACGATAGAAGAAAGACCTTGTTTCATGGACTTGAATTCTGGTTTTTTGATCAACTCCAGTACAATAAATACAGCCCTATAGTCAAGAAAGCAGGCGGGGAGAGCAGAATAGCTAGTCTGGAGGAAGGCTTAAATGCAACAATTCTTCATGGTACTTTGTTTGTTCAGTATCCTCATTTGACAGAAGAATGGGCTCCTGTGCAAGATAAATTTCATCAAAAGTAAGTTTATAAGCCTGTTCAATCACTTATTTTCCTTAGTATGGACTGTACTCGATGCATTCTTGAATGGGAGATAGAATACAGTATCATGTATTGCTCAACCAATATCATGTGTAATCCCTTTTCTGATCTTTTGAACCGGATTTCAAGTGATGATCCTGTTTATAGATCACTAGAGTTTTCTTTAGATAGGGTTAAACTTGAACCATTGGATGATACTGTGCCTACAGACATGACATCTCCCATAAGAGACACAGTGGCTCTAAGGGACACATTACCTATAACCAACAGTATTTCTCCTATGCGAACTAATGCTACGCTGCCTCTGCATAATACATTACCTACGCAAGACGTAACACCCATCGATGGTAAATATGTCTATACATACACCATATATGCTTATAATACATGTATGGATCCCTTTATAGATGAAGACAAAAAAGAAAGTATATCTTGTGTTTATGCAGTATCATTACAGCCTAGTATCAATTTTGAAGAAGATGATGTAGATATGGACCCACCTACACCCTCTTTATCTGTTAATTTGATGGACCTTAGTAATTTTTATGACAACATGTTTGCTACTACAGCACAGAAGCAACAACAACAATCTAAGACAAAAGAACAAGAAGAACAAAGTAGAAAAGAACAGGAAGAACAAAGTAGAAAAGAACAGGAAGAACAAAGTAGAAAAGAACAAGAAGAACAAAGTAGAAAAGAACAAGAAGAACAAAGTAGAAAAGAGCAGGAAGAAAAACGTAAAAAAGAACAAGAACAAGAACAAAGAAAAGCTCAAATTGCAGAAAGAGAAAAGATATTAGAGGAAAGACAAGAACGATTAAAAATGGTTGAAGAAGAAAGATTTAAAGAACTAGAAGAGAGAGGAAAAAGACTAGCAGAAAGACAAAGACAATTGGGAATTGAAGATGACGAAGATGCTGTAGTTGAAACAAATGATACGATACCAACACAAATCAACACAAGTACACTGAATGCTTCCTATAGTCAGGTCGTATTTGCTCCTCTTGTAGTTAAACCTAGACCTCCTCCTCCTATTTCTCCTCAGACATTAACTGCCCAATCTAATCAATCCACTGTCAACTATAAGCGATTTAAAAAAGTACGCCAGTTTGAATCCAATGACGTCTATGACTTTGTTCCTATGGCTAGCAGTAGTCAAATGCCTGTCCGCAATAGACACCATCAAAGTAATTATACCATTCTAAACACTTACACTAAATGTCTTATAGATCAAGAACATACACTTGTACGCATTGAGAACACAAACCAGTTTGATCCTGATATTATGATTCGTACAACAGCAAGACGAAGAAGATGATAGTTTATTTATGACAATCTTTTCTTTTTACGTTTATATTTGCATTTCTTACACATACATGTACCATCACTAAGATCTGTTTCTGATTCTGTTGAACTAATTAAAGCAGTCTTTCTCTTTCTTGTATATTCTGCATCACTACTACTACTGCTGCTGCTTGAAGTAGACGAACTTGCACTACTATCTTCACTACTACTGGGTGGCAATCGAGGTATATACAGTGTAGATGCTAAGGATTCTGCTAATGCTGCATAATGCTTGTCTGACTCGCCTAATTTCTGAATCTCTCTAAATAATTTTTGTCCTAATTTGGGTCGGTTGTGTCGAGTGTTCAGATAAACATATTCTGCATTGGTAGAAGAACAAAAGTTTTGTGTGACAGCCACTGTCAAGTCTAAATTCATGACAACATGCGCCCAACCACCAGGCACAAAAATGGTCTCACCAGGTTTTTGCAATACTTCAATCATGCCCCACTTTTCACCTAACGTTTGAGTACCTTCCCGCTGTTTAAACTTAGGATAGACTTGGTCAAACCAAGAGACACCTTCATGATCGTAGGGCTTCATAGGTGGATCATAGAGCTCTTTAGGTGTGTTGGGCGGGAATAAGCACCATCGTTTATGTCCTTTAATCAATGCATTCCATGCTGATGTGCCCAAAGGATCCTTATGGATACTTTAAATGGATCAGTAAAGCATACCATGATAAAGTCGAAACTTACCCAGTACCACTTCTTGCTCCACCCATCACTAACCATCGATAAGGTGGTCTTCTATCACCTGTCAATTTAAACAAATCTTCATTGAAATACTTGGGCACTTTATAGTCATTTAGCAGACTAGATGGTTTCTTTTTTGTATTTTCAGAGGAACGAGAAGACCGATAAAATCCACTGTCAAAGATATAAAGAGGTGAATCATCTACAAGTCCATCATGTTGTGTGTAATATAAGAAATGCTTCATTTTCATATAAACATTGTTATTGTCATCATCATCTCCCACTTTAAACAATTGAGAGCCATAATTCTCTGATAAATACTATGCAATAGTCAGTATAAGTATGTGGTATAAACACATACTTTTTCAGTCCAATGCTTATTGGCTTTCCAATCATCTGTGACATGTGTGATGATTACAGGTACATTTTTTGATTCATACTTGTCAATAAATTCTTTTTTGCTAACCATGCGATAATCTATTCTTTCACATCTGTCGACAAAAGAATCAATCCAGTAATCCTTTTGATAAAAATTCCATTTTTGCCATTTAAACAAGTCGAGTTCTGCGGGAAAAAAAATTTTTTTTTTGAATACATCTAAGGATGCCTTTTTAGACTTACCTGAACGACATTTTAGTTTAATTCGATTGATTTTATGTTCATAACGGCTTGATTTTGATGATTTATATTTCTTTTTTGCTTCAATGGCTTGTGCTGGTATTGATTTAGAAACCATAAAGAAAAGAAAAGAAAAGAAAAAAAACAAAAGGTCTGGGGTTTAAAAAAATGGAACCACTTTTTACAATGTCAAAATGCGGATTCTGAACACTCAATGTGCATGTCTTTCTTCCAGAATCCACTTTATTGCACAAATAAATGATAGAATTGCTTGACAGAATACATTTACTTTGTTGTAATACACCAAGAAGGTAATAAGGCTAGTGTCCGAAGGATCTGAAGCTGACTTAGTGGTGTTGGTCTCTCTTTGACCCATTATTTGAAAAATACTTTTTAAAGTGGATTACCCACTTTTGTGCAACCATGTAGGTCAGAAAGATCAACAGTTACTTGTGAAAGTAGCACAAATGATGACTCTGTTTATAGAAGAATAAGGCCAAAAAGGTATGTCTGCTCGCTTCCTGACCTCATCCTTGTCAAAAACAGATACGAATACAATTGCGCTAAATATGGCAAGGATGATACAAAAAAAAAAAAAAAAGACACCAACATGAAAGAAGCAGTAGAAGGATGTTTGGAACTTCCTCAAGAATCGAAGGGTTTGCTGTTGGGGCAATTCACCAGACTAGAGTCCAACAAACAAGAAGATATGAAGACATTTGGATTGTCGTGCAACAGTATGGCAATCTAAATGATTAACCAGCCGTCAAACCATGCTTGTCGTCTACTCAAACTGGGAGAGGTGCCATGCGTTGATGAAGAAATGGCAAGGAGCTTCTCAAAGTCGCATGAAAGACCAAGGTAGTAAATACTAAAAGCTTTCTTTAAAGATATTCAACTAATTTTTTATTGGCTTAATAGGAGATCATGAAAGAAAAGAAAAAGAAGAAGGAAAATGCTGTCTGCCAGTCTAAATCATTTCAAACAATATAAACAAAGTCAATAAAGACCATTTTCTCTTTACTAAAAAAAAAAGGGGCGTTTATTCTCTATCAGTTACTTTTTTTTTGTTGTTTCGTAGTGTCAGTCTGTTTTAAAAACGCCTTGACTTGACTTGCAGTAGCTGTGTACCAAGCATACAAAACAAATGTCTGTAAGCCATGGAAAGCAGAAAGGGCATAACTTGCATTCAAAGACAATGGACCCTCAAGACGGGATTGAAATACCACAAAAGTCATGATCATGTGATAAAACATAAATCCACAAGCTAGAGTACGTCAATGTTGATCATTTTACTGTCTTTTTTTACCTGCTCCTCTTTTACAGGGCAACATATTGGGCATATCTCGACATAATAAACTAATGATGCCAACACTAGCTAAAGCTGCACCGTAAAAGCGAATCAACAAAACATGTGTGATATCCAATACTCGGTTAAAGAAAAAATCAACAGCGTGGGGCAACAGTAAGAGTTGGATTGCAATCGCACTTTGGATGACACCATGCTATAGAGCATTAAAAACAAATAGAATATGTTACCATCATAACTTACAACAGCAAAGATAAGATTAAGTGCACTCATGATACTGTAGAAAGAAAAATATATATATATAAAAAAAAAAAAAAAAAGTAATTTTTTAAAGTGCACCATTTATTGGGATTAGTTGGGGGGAAAGCGGTCACACAAACAAGTGCATGAAAAAAAAAATTAGGTAGATAATGGTTTACCTCGAGACTGTGTACCTTGGAAAAGATCATCAAAAAAGGCTTTTCTGCTGCTTACATGGGACATTGTCTTACTTGTTTTTGCATCCGTTTCTTGAACATTTGTGTCTGAATGAGTCTCTAAAGTTTGTTTTTTGGCAGAAAAGCTCAATTCATTCTCTTCGAAATGATCAAGCGCAGCCTTGTGCTTGCTTATAGAACGTTCAATCTCACGAATAGCACGTCGGATAGAGTACATGGTAGGTTTACTATGTATCTTTCAGTAATGATTGTTCATTGAATTTGGCTTTTTTTTTTTTTTTTTACCTTGTATCTTTCGTTTGAGATGTAGATTGTTCTAGTTCTTGCTTAGCCTTGTTCAATTTAGCAATCAAGTCTTTCATTATGTCTTCAAAATCAATGCATCTTTCTTCTAACTCTTCGTATTGAACCTCAAGTTCGTTTTCTTCAAATTCGTATGAGAGAGGTTGATCAAAGTTCTTTTCGTTCAAGTATTCTTCAATGATATTCTTTTTTGTTGAAACTAAACAAGAGTTAGATAGTGTAGACTATAAAGATAAAGCTTACTTTGATCAGTGGATTCGCATAGCTCTGTGGTTCTGTTCAACACTTGACGCAAGCGAGCCTGTGCGTCTCTGGCTTCATCAGATAATGTATCCATCATAGCACTAATGTCAGTCACATCAGATAACGTCCAGAGAAAATCATGATCACTCAAATAGTTAGTATCTTTCAATTCAAACGAATCTCTTGTTTGGAAAAGCAATTGCTTTGTTATTTGATCTGATAAATGCACAGCCTAATTTTGTTAATCTAGCTTGTTTAAAATACAATGCACTTACAGATTCAACTTCATCCAATGTTTCGAAATAAGCATCTTCAAAATCTTGAGACATCGCTGGTAAATCAACAGATTTCTTATAGCTTATAGAAGTTCTTGTCTCCCTTTCTCGAGTAGCAAACTCAGTGTTTTCAATCTTTTCTGCGAGTGCTCTCTTGGCTTGAACAATGCGTTCTTCCTCTTGTTGCTTTTCTCTTTCGATACATCGCTTTTCTTCAGCTTTTCTTTCTTCCTTTTGTTGTTTTTCTCTTTCAATATGATACTTTTCTTCAGCTATGCGTTCTTCTTCACGTCTTTTTTCTGCTGCAATACGTTGTTCTTCCTGTCGTTTTTCTTTTTCAACGTGTTCTTGTTCTCGTTTCTTCTCTTCTGCAGCTTCTTCTTCTGCTTTTTGCTTCTTTTCTTCTTCACTCTTTTGTTCCACAAATTCTTGTTCTTTAAGTGTCTCTTCTTTAGGTGTCTCTTCTTTAGGTGTCTCTTGCTTTTCTTCACCAGATGGTTGTGTTGGTTGAGAACTATCTTGTTTTTCAATCCTTTCAACAGGAGTATCATCAATTGCTTTCTGAATTTCTTCAAAAGACATACTACAGCTGACATTTTGAGTACCCTCATTATCACTGACAGTACGTTTATCTGATGTGTTCTTTTCTTCCTCGTTTGGTTGAGTAGCAGGAACATCTTTTGTTGTGGGCTTTTGTTGATTCTTGGATTCCAAAATAGAGGGACCGAATTTAGATGCAGCATGACGATCAGAAGAAGCTTCACCAAACAACTTTGAAGGGGAAGAGGTAGCCTTAAATCCTCCAAAGGGTGTAGATGGAACCGCAGCGGCACTCAAGGCAGACTTGTTTCCAGGAGAAGAACCAAATCCTGAAGGTGAGCCAAATCCTGAGGGAGAGCCAAATCCTGATGGAGAACCAAATCCTGAAGGTGAACCAAATCCTGAAGGTGAACCAAACCCAGATGACGAACCAAAACTAGCAGCACCAAATGTAGGTGTAGAAGAAGTCGGATTAATGCCCAAGTTATGACTAAAAGAAGGTAACTTCTTTGTCTCTGACGAGTTTGATTTAGCAAGCGAGGAGAATGATACTGTCTGTGCAGGTGAGCTACCAAATGCAGAACCAGTGCTGCCAAATCCAAAGCCAGAAGTAGATCCAAATTTAGGTGGATCTGACATGGATGAAGTGGGTCTACCTGAAAAAGTACTTGCATTCGCAATGGGCGAAGAAGAAGTACGCAGTGTGCTGAAGGTAGGGATCTTTGTGTCTGAAGAGAAACCAAATGCAGATGTTGGTTTGTTGTCTGTAGTAGTAGTAGTAGATATTGGCTTGCTGTTGTCTGTAGATGTCGACTTATTATCGTCTGTTGCAGGTGGAGCAGGGATCTGATATACATCCTTTGCTGTGACCATACCTGAGTATTGTTGATTCTCCTTGGCTAAATCAGAATTGTAGATGTAATAGCTACAGATAAGTCCTTCTGTTGTCAAAATGTATAATACAGGAGCAGCAGGAACAGGCTCTTCACTTTCTGCAGCATCAAAAGGAGGCAAAGGTTCTGATGCAGAGTAATCAATAGCCAAACCTAATGGATAAGTATCTGTTACATCATCGTCTGACATGGGCAAAGCAGGTGTGGATTCACTTTCTAATAACCAAGTAGCCCATTCACCTTCGCCATCTTGGCCAATAAGGCCTAGATCAGTGGCGCCTGAATTAGCCAAAATGATCAATGTTTTAGCATGAGGACCAAAATCACGCAAGACACAGGCATAAAAATGACTGTCGGGTGTGTCAAGACCAAAGATAGGAGTGACATCGTCCAACATCAAGTATCTTTCATCATCACTGGTGCTTTTAGTGTTGATAATATAAGCTGTATGAACAGGATCTCCATCGCCACTGTTGTCTTGTGGTCTAGAGTAAATGATTAAAAATACATGATTCTCAACCCAGACAACTGCATTGACTATCATCATTTGTTTAGCCAAAATGTATCAAGAAATAACACATACCAAATCTGTCTTTTTCTTCTTCACCAGAACCAGCCTTCATAGCTACAGGAGGTGGGATTTCGTCCTTTTTCTCACCAGCAAGATCAAATGTATAAACATGGCCATTATGAGCACCACAAGCAATGCGTTTTCCCTTAGGGGACCAACACATAGTGATAGTATCTGACATGGTGGCGACAATTTCCTTTTGCATATAACGAATCAATTGACATTGGCTGTCTTTGGTAATCACTGCTACTATATCTGGAAATGCTTCAGGATTAGGTTGAATATAGCTGATATCTGCTTGTAATGTGTGTGACTGAACTGGTTTCGCTTGTTCTTTCTATCAAATGTGTTTGTGAGCGATAGATTGTTATTATTATTTTAAGCAAATTTACTTGTTGAACAATATCGCAAATGTTGTATGTCAAAAGAATTCCACCAGCAACACCAATAAAGAGTTGAAGTTCGTTAGCTGATAAAGCAACCACATTGACTTCTCCTTCTTCTATATTGACATGGATAGTTTCTTCTAAAGGAACTGTCTCGCTTTGTGCTGTCTTGTAGACAAGTGAACGTAACTTTTCTGTTTGTGCCAAGGTGAAGCCTACATTGTTTTAAATACACGCGTCATTATTCAATAAATAATAGACTACCTGAACAAGAACCAGCTATAAAGTAGCCATATTGACTTGAACAAGCAAGCAATGAAGCACATATTTGATTTCTTGTGGTATGAAACTGAGAGTTATCAAGCTTCACTTTGACATCAGGAACTAGGCTTTTAAAGCGAAAAAACTATCTCAGAAAGCGTTAGCTTTTTTTTTATTGTTATTATTGACAAAGTATTCCTACGTCGACTACTTTTTGTTCTCCAGAATCAAAAGTATCTTCTTGTTGTAACACTTCGTATGGGTTTGACATTGTATAAAGAACGCGAAAAAAGAAAAATGTTTTTTTTTAGGCGTAGATCTAATTGTTCTTCAGCAGTCTCTCTTGGTGTGATTATGCAAAAAAAAAAAAAAAAAAAAAAAAAAAAAAAACTTTATTTTCTATAGTTTTCAAACAATTCTGTTGCTTTAACAAGATCCACATTTCCACCACAAAGAATGATGCCAATACGCTTCACATTATCTTTTTGATTCTTTCTTGAAAGTCCTTATTAAATATGGTTACGGCAACACCAACAGCAGCACTGGCTTCAATACAAAGCTTCATACGACCCCAAATCAATTCCATTGTATTGATAATTTCCTTCTCAGTCACTGTAAACACATCATCTACATGCTTGTGAATCTCAGAATAAGCAATATCACCCAAGTTAGTCAACAAACCATCAGCGACAGACTCTGATTGAGCATTGGTTAATCGTTCATGCTTTTTGAAGGAACGATAGCAATCGTCTACCAAAGAGGGTTCTGCAGCATACACCTTGATGTCGGGTCTTAGAGATTTGGCAGCAATAGAGCAGCCTGTCAACATACCACCACCACCAACAGGCACAATAATAGCATCTAAATCGTTGACTTGAGATAACAACTCAAGAGCAATGGTGCCTTGACCAGCGATGACATGAGGGTTGTTAAAGGGATGAATAAAAGAGGCATTCTTTTCTTTTCTGACTCTCTCTGCCTAAAAGCAAAAATGTCAAATCCTCTTATGCCTATCAATGATGTTGTACTTACTGTTTCTTCTCGTACAGATTGAAGTGGTTCACATTCAATAATATGAGCACCATAGGCAGCAACGGCCACTTTCTTGACATCAGGGGTTGTGTTGGGCATAACAATATAAGCAGGAACACCTCGGTTCTTGGCAGCTAAAGCAATAGCTTGAGCATGGTTACCACTTGAATGACAAACAACACCATTAGCAGCTTCTTCATCCGTTAACACAGCAACAGCATTGGATGCACCTCTGTATTTGAATGCTTTTTTTTATAGAGTTAAACAACTTGTTGTTTTATTTGTCCTTACATCCAGTCTTTTGAAACAATTCACATTTAAAGTATAATTCAACAGGAACATCTTTAGTAGAAGCGAATTCATTCATCGACTCACAAGTGAGAACTGGCGTACGGTGAACATGAATACGCTCAGCAGCTTGGATAATATTTTCTAGAGTAATTTGAGCCATCGTTTAGAAAAAAAAAAAGGGGGGAAAGAAAAAAGCTTATGGGAGAATAAATGAATACCTTTTTTTTTTATACGCAACATGCAATCAACTCCGAGAAGACAAAAGATGACACATCTGATCTTTATTCAAACTAAGCTGGTGGTAAGAAACTTGAAAACAGAACAATCCCCACTAAGCCATATAGCACAAAATAACCAAGGATAAGCTGGGCCATAAAGGGACGCTTGTTTGATCCAAAGCCTTCTATCCATACATGTCCTACGTACCAATAAAAGGGAGGCAATGATGTAAAGAATCGAATAATCACTTGAACATGCATGGATGTAGTAGCAAAGAACAATAGAAACAGCCACAAATACATAAAGACAGATAATTTGGAACTAGTAAAAGAATCATATTCGGGCTGCTTTTTTGTTTGTCTTGCTCCTAAAGTCCAGAACCGCAAATGATCGTACTGAATGAACGTCTTGAGACCCAATATGCTTATCGTGATTATTGGGGCTGCCAGTAAAAAGTTGGGTATTTGCTTAATCTCATAGTAAGAAAGAAACCCGTTACCCCTAGGTGATACAACAGATAAGCAATCAGATATAACTTTGCTTGACTTACCAATACTCTTTCTGAACAAAAGAATACAAGAGTGGTAGTTTATCCGCACACCAGGGTCGATCTAAACTACAGAACCGAGTGTAGCCATAATATTGAAACAAACCAAATCCACTCATTGTCAATAGAGTATACAGCATGGCTTGAATCAGGCCTGCTATCAAATCCTATTGCTTCATTAATCTCTTACCAACATCTATCACTTTGTTATTACCTTGCGTTGATGTATGAACCGTAACCAAACAAGATCATAAAAGAAGAAGCCCGAGTAAATGATAGCATTTGAACGAGCAGCAGAAGCCATACTCCAAATAACAGCTGCTTTCAAATACTTTCTTTGAGTAACCCATTTCATACCAACAAAGCTTAATAACGCAAAGATGGATTCTGTATAAAAAGAAGACATAAACATAGCAGGTGGTGATAGACAGAATGCGATGGCAGTAACATTGGCTAATGCCTTTTTTTTGGGTAATAAGGTCAATGTTAACCTACATTCATAAGATTTAGATACAAATGGATACAACACAATCCTTTTTACTCATATAAAGCACCTGCAGCCAAAACGAACGACACATTGGCAATCGTTACACCAGATAGCAATAAAGCGTATTTTCTTCCCAAGATGGATTCAAATGGAGAAAACACTAAGAAAGATTAGTCTGGCTTCTTTTTTTTTTTTTGACATGCATTCATACCTGTGTTTGTTAGTAGACGTGCCAAAAATGGCATCAAAGGAAAAAAAGCAGTCTCTTGTTCGTACACATAGCCTTGTTCTGCAATATGTAAAAAATAAAGTGCGTCCCATCTGAGGAAGGCAGTTAAAAGGCCATGACCACCCAACTGAATCTCGGCCGAGGAATCATAACTTCCTGTAGACAAATAAGTTAGAATACCTAAACTTAGAGTGAAGAGACGTGAAGCTATGGCAGTAGCATAAACTTCTTTCATTGATAGTCACTAACACGTAAAAAGGGGGGAAGAGAGGGAGTATGCAGTTTAAGACTATATACAGAATAACTTTTTTTAGCCAATCAGATAAAACGGGGTAACCATTATCATAGTAAGCAAAAGATCTGCATTATGTATCCTTTTTCTCTCTTTCTCTTATCTTTGACTAAATGGAGGGACATACAATGCCAGGACATACTATGTCAGATCATGATATGTCAGATCATGATATGATATCCAATTGTGCAATGAATGTAAGCCATATATATCTATTTGTCATACACTTATTCATAATATCTGTAGATGCTTTTCAACTGGCAAGTAAAAGATATATGCATTGTTTTTGAGTGGTGGCACATTCATACTGCAGTTGAACTACTGCTGTCATGCATTGCTGTTTTTATGATTGCTGCCGGATATGAATATTTACGTGTATGGTCAAGTCAATTAGACGAACAATGGTCACAAGCAGAAAAGAAACGATTGATTGAACAACAAACGCTTATGGTGGGCATAGAAGGAGACGAAGAAGAGACAACACCTCATCCTTCAAACAGTGTTGGATACGCTAGAAAAGAATGTTTAGTAAAAAATCGTGCTGCTCAACGTTTTGGCAAACAACACATTGTGCAGTCTATTTTTTATGCTTTATTGGTTGCTATTAGTTTCTGGCTGATGTTGGTGTTTATGACATATAATGGATATTTGATGATTGCTATTATTTTAGGCTCAGGATTTGGACATTTGATGTTTGGTAGACAATCAAAAATGAACCGTAATATTCAATGCCATTAACAAAACCTTCATTCTCCTTTTTTTTTTCTCCTTGTCTCTTTTTCTCCTCGACATGTGGCCTCTTTTTTTTTCTTTTTTTTATGTATATAATAAAGGGTCAATTAATCGTTAACATGGTCTAAATATCATTATTTGAGTAAAAAAAAAATATATATATAAAAGTGGGGTATAAGAAAGTGATTTAGGGATATTGTCGCCATGAAGGGTCAATTACACCAAATGAATTGGGTAAAGTGATAGACATGTTATTGTGTGAGACATTTTCACTGGCTGACATGGATATGGTTCGATTATAGCTGCTGCTTAGAACAGGATTATTGGCCACGTTAGGGAACTGATTATTGACATCACTAAACGATGTAGGATCATAGAAATCAGATGTATGAAGATAAAATGTTCGGTTGTTGACAATAGAGGAAACATGGTCGTCTACGCCGAAGGTTTCCAGCTGGTTTTTTGGGTGTGCAGGCTCCATGAGTCTCGGTTGATCACGTCCATAGATTTCACTGCTACTCATTCCATGAGACCCGCCAGTAGATCCGTCTGTTTCTTGTCTTGGTTTTTCGACAAATCTGATCTGTGTGTTTGATCTTTTAGGCGGTTCAACAGGTTGATCGTCTCGTCCATTAAACCAATTGATCCAGCGTTCAAGGGCTGTTTGGTCGCTTACTTGGAACATAAACGTAAGGCCGTCGTCTGTACGAACACGGAATACATAATGGTCTTTGTTGTGTGTATTGATCATTTCACAATGAGTATAGTTATAGAGAATAGCACTGTGTCCAGATTTCTATATATCAAAATAAGTTTTTTTTGTATGTATGTCAATATACACTTACGCTAGAGAGAATAAAAAAGCGCTTGAGAGGTACAAGCACAATATGCTTTAATTCCCAAATCGACAAAAACTCAAAACGAGCCATTTTCTTGACGGGCAAAATACCTTCATGCGCTTTGACAGTAAAATCAAACATGTTCTTTGCCACCAAATTTAGATTAAGGCTGTCGTCTGGGGAAGAAGAGAAAGGCTGGTGTGTTAACTGTGCTTGACTCTCCGTGTTCATGCGATATAAACTTAATTTTTTGTTGCTCTTGAAAATGTAAGATACAATCAAGATAAACTTGGGAAGAAACAAGACAATGATAGTGAATGTTGCTGCAAACAAAATACTTGCAATCTTGAGGTAAGTCGAGATCAAGTAGCTTTCGTTTGCTAAAAAGAAGCTTGGACTGGCAACAATAGCGGCTAGACCTGTATTACTATACAGAAACCCAAAAAAATTAAGTTTGTTGTTACATCAATTGTTTAAATTAATACTTACTAACTCACATAGGCAATTTGGGTCGCTTCTGACCATTTGCTACCCACATTGCGTGTCTAAAAAAAGATCGCGATAAAGTGTGAGACAATGTATGTGCGCGTGAAGATCAAACCGAGTACCTTAAATGCTAACAGGGCGGAAATAACCATCAAGATAACACACCAGATCAAGGCAATAAGTTCAGCAATATTGAAGTTGTGCCAGCTGCCTACTTTTGCAGTAGGGTATGTGCATAACCAACAATAGCTTGAAGTCGAGATCATCACATCAGAAACTGAAATAGGAAAAATAGCGTACCAGATAATCAGAGGTAAAAGACCAATGATACCAAAAAAAGCTACTATACGAACAAGATAATAAGATTTAAGCCTTGATGTTCTTACAGTAAACACGTTTTGGAAGCTGCAAGCGTGAAAAAATGGCTATTAGTTTATGCGTCATTGTCCAGTTTACTTACATTCTATAGATTCTATACAAACAAAGTTAGTTTAAAACAAAAAGAGAATTATTTACCATACCTATAATTTTTGGCTACAATACTGCCTATAACCAATACGAACCCAATCATGAGAAAGACTTGCCTAAAGATACATTTTGCAGGACTAGGTTTTTCAATGTAGAGAGCAACGGCTACATAAGTTAAGGAGAGACCAGTCAATTGAAGACAACAGAAAATAGGACTTGCCACCATGATAGACTTCAGGCCGCGGAACCAAATAATTAAGAACATCATCAACAAAGCAGCTAATAGGCCGAAAGCACAAATAGTAATGATGATGACACCAGTAGCTTCGTGGGTTGTGGGGTTGAGAGCTGTGGTCATATTAGTAAACATAATATACTGAAAGTACACTGTGATACATTACATGATTTGGCCACCATATCAGCTGGCTTTTCCGTGGTATGACCAAGATAAATAATGCTAGTGTTTGGCATGAATTCGAAATGATTTAGCTTTACAGTAGCGTAGGGAACGCTAGTACCATTCAGCATGTAAAGAATTTGAAAGTATCTATGCATCTCAGCATCAGTAACATGCTTGTATGTATTTTTTCTAATTTACCCTGATTCCAAATCGCCTATTTTTTTGTTTTGTTCACGTATTAGTAATGTGGAGTTTGTATCAGGAATTTATTTACCTGTGTCTGAAAAATTCATCAAACCTATAAGAAAACAATTAACAAAGCGATGATGATTGTACAACCAAAACATTACCTGCTGGACCTGTGTAATTCAAGTTGTAAAATTCTGGAGTCATTCTTGAAGAATTAAAGGTGCCTTTGCCTAGATCAGACAAACCAACACTTCGGCCACCAGGATAAGTGTCAAGTGCCTATTTAATTCAAAAGGGGTTAGAACAATACACTTGATTATATACTCCATATTTCATACATGGTTAAGCCCGAGAGCAAGTAATTCAGCACATGCGTATGCTTGTGGTGCATTATAAGATAAGCCTGTAGTGTTCCATTCACGAGCATCACTACTGTAGCACAAGTCAATTATAAGGGTCAAGAAGTTAAGCTGAAAAAGAGGGGGGGTGTCTTACAATTCTTCAGGAACACGTTGATCTTTCCAAATTTGGTTTAAACGGTCATACGAAGGTTCACCAGTTACTGGAAAAAGAAAGTTAATCAATGAAACAAGCACTGCATAATAATGCTTCCTTACAGTCCCATAAGCCGCTTATAAACATGAGTCCATCATAAACGGCCAAATCTTCCGGAGTTTTGGCGTTTTCTTGTAGAACAGGTGAAATATCATTGGTGACAATCCATACCCAACCTTTTGTCAATAAGCCCATGTGTCTATTGAAGGAAAGTCAGTCGGGCCAGTGCGATAAATCAAGCGTTCTACCTTGCTTTATTCAGAATAGCAACTTGGTCGCTGGTAGTCGAGTCAGCTAAAATAACAATACGAGACCCTGAAGACTCTAACAACGAAAGGGATTCTGCGCATAAAATTTTTTGACTCAGCATTCATATCTCGTTTTTTTTTTCTTTACCTTCAATCTCTTCGTCAGTTAGACTGTAAAGTGGTATATTAGTCATGGCCTGAATCTTGTGCTTATTTGCTTGTTGTTTCATTGTATTGAGCACTTGTTGACCAACAGCATCATTCGTATAGATAATGGCAAACATGCCCCAACCCATACTGTCAACCCAATCAACAAGCGATTCTCCATAGAGTGAGACACTACCAACTGTTCGGAAGAAGTATGGATAAATGGATTTATCTGTCAGACTGTAAGAAGCAGAAGCGCATGAGCATTGTGGAATTTGCTTGACACCTGTGACTGATGCAATAGCTTCTGTCATAGTGGAGATCATATCACCTATAACTGCACTATAAAAAGAAAAGAGCGTAAGCATATATTGCTCTTTGAACATAAAAAGGCGATAGAATATATTTACTTGACATTATCTTGCACCATTTTGACTGCTGTTAATGATGTTTTGCCTGGATTCTTTTCATCTGAATAGTATCGAGTGAAATTCAATTCTACATCTGTATATAACATCAGTGGATTTCCTCCTTGATCATATATTATGTACCACTTAAAATGTTGCTTTTTCGAATTGAATCGGCTGCAAGTTGAATGGCTACTTCGCTCGTAACGATCATGTCCTTTAATGCGGGATCTTCGGCTACAACATCGGATGATTTGGGAAATGAGATACCTATGTTGTATGTTGGCTTTGTTGCTACTGTTGTTGTTGTAGCTATACTATTGTTGATTTGTCCAATTGTCTGTGATTGTCCAATATACAGCCATGATATAAGTAAAAATAGAGTAAATAGCATTCTAACTCTTTTTCACTTATAAATGATGATTTGGAACAATGTACTAAAAAAAGAGAGAAAAGGAAAAGCAATGAAAAAAAAACTACTTTATAGATTTGAAGCTACGAATATCACTTTTTGTAACCATCAACTTGACTGAGATACTTTGCCTTGTTCTACAACAATATGCGGAGTTAGTGGACATTTTCCCGAAATTATTGGCCTTGAATATTTACTTAATGTATTGTGTTGAATTAATCATGAACTTTTGAGTTAATATGCGCAAAATAAAAGGTACATGATATTTTTGTTAAGATTTTCTCGCTCTATCAATCTTGGCTTTTCTCTTGAGTCGCTTCATTTATGCTACTTTCTTAAATAAAACGGATTTTTATCATATCTTTCTTTTTTCTTTTTTGATAGAATACAGCTTCAATTTTTTTTTAAAAAAGGAAGGGATTTAACTTATCTCTCAAAAGCTTAGTGCTTACCATTTATTTTTTCTTGTCTTTAGTATATTCTAGAAGGGTCTTGTAGCACCAATCTATTTTTCAAATTGTTTTTTTTTGTATATAAAATGTTCCTGAAACTTGATTGACACTCTTTTGTTACTGTATTGCAGCTGTCACTGCTAAATACAACACTAAATCATAAAAAAGCAAATGTGTTATACTTTTTTCGCTCTATAATTCATTTCTAAAAGCGTAAACCACCACTTGACATAAAAAGCACTGCCTAACGTCTAAATAAAAAATGAAAGAGCAAGTCGTTTTCTTTTGGCATAGAATTATTTTCCTTAAGGATATCATTTATTTATTTAAATATGGTTTATTGGATGCTACAATTCTTTGCTGCTTTCTTTTTGCTATCTGTTGTACCATAATGCATAATTTTTGTCATGTCTCTGTTGTTTGTTTGTGGTCGATTTAATTTCTCGGCTGCAGGTTGATACCCTTTTGATGCAGCCTTTCCAAAATACTCTAACGCACGTGGGAAATCAGGTGTGACACCTACGCCATCCTCATAATACTTTCTATACAAGACTGATAAGAAAAAAAACAGATGACTTGATATTTACCCTAAAACAAACTCTGCTTGACAAAACCCAAGATCAGCGGATTTCTTGCACCATTTGAAGGCTGCTTCTTTTTGTGCAGCCAATAGACCTGGAATACCTTGACAATACAGACGCGATAAGTTAAGCATGGCTCCTGGATGATGGACTTCAGCTGCTTTCATATAACATTGATAGGCTTGCCAAATATCGCATAATTGACCCAACATACCACCCTCAAAGACTTGTCCCATAAAGTACATGGCATCAGGGTAGCCATAATGTGCCGACTTTTTTAGATATTGAAGAGCAAGACTGTAATTGACTGTTTCTTTTAATTTGGCTTCTTTGATGGATTTCTGATCACGAGCACTATAGATAGACATGAGCGTTTTTTCTATAAAAACATGTATACTTGCCTTTGAATGCCTATGCGTTCAAACTCATTGGCATAAACACATCCCAGCACAAAAGCAGGTTCTGCGCACCCGATTTCGTCCATATCAGCCGCTTGTTTTAAATAAGCCATGCCTCTAGGAATATCTTTGGATGTCTTTAATTGGCCACGTAAGAAAATTTTAGCCATTTTCTACAGAAGCGCTCTAGTCAGTGATGCTATAATTACACAAACACAACTACTTGCATATACAGATAGAGCATGATTCTCTTTAGCCCCTTTTTCAAAATATTCAATGGCTTTGGCAAACTGTCTTCGTTTCTTCCATAACTGTGCTAGTTCGTAATGCGCTTCTACCCAGCCACCTTTGGAAGCGCTTTGAAAACATTTCAATGCCTTTGATTCATTAGGTCTTTCATAGCCTTGGAGAACACAATCATGTGCTTTTTTGCAACCTAACAAATACCAGCGACCTTGGATATAGAGCGCTTCAGGATAACCTGATTTTGAAAGTCTTTCTATCCAGAACCCAGCTTCTTTAAGTAATCGGTATCTTGTTTGAACTGGTGTCTCATACATGTCTTTTTTGTTCTGAGAAGATACTGATTCATCATCGTAGGAGTAAGAACGCAAGCTTTTATCATAAAGTTTAGATATCTGGAGTAAGTATTTGGCATAGGTCATTTGTGTATCTTTGTTTTTGGTCTTGAAAGCCATACGACGGTACAATTTTATATTCGAACGAATTTGAATTAAGCTATACGACGCAATACTCAGTGGTTTATGTTTGAGCGACTGGAGAAATTCATCTTGATTAGCTATTATTTTCTGTTGTTCTTCTTGTTGTTTGACAACAGCAGGTGTCTCTTTCAATTGCTCACTAATTTCATCAGGGACCCGCGCAGTAAAGACAGACACGGTTGGTACAGATCCAGTAGAGATACGATTGATTTGGTGCTTTCCACTTGAACGCTTTGTACCCCAAGGAGAAGGAACGCCTGTCGATCCTGCGCTTGGTTGGTCAAAATACTTTTCTGCAGCGGAAAATGAAATCGTAGGATCTTCATCTTGTCCATGGCCTGTGGGTTTTTCGGTCATTGGCTCAAGAACACGAGATGGATGTGAATCCGTTAATGTAATGTTAGACATTTGTTGTTCCTCTGAAGAAGAAGGTGAAGGTGTGGTTATGGTGCTTGTACTTGGTACCTTGAGCGGCTCCAGAGACCTATCTTGATCCACCGACTTTATCACTAATGTATTTAACTTTTGCAGTAACAAAGAAGCAATGGGGCTCTCTTGATCAATTTCTTCTTTTGATACTTTGCGTTGAAGTGCTGATGGCTCATCAGGTTTCTCCAAATGCTGAACTTTGTTGCGTAAAGGTGCAGGAGCGGTCTCTATTTTTAGACTGTCGGATCGCTGGATATTGGTACCTTGCAAATGCTGATGCGCGGGTGCTTGCCAACTTGGATGATAACCATACATTGGCGTATAATCCGATTGCTGTACAGGATAGTAGTAATAAGGCTGTTCATATACGTGGTAAGGATAATAAAGTTGGTTTGGTATGACCATAGAAGGATCCATGGTACGATTTTTATCTTGGAAAATAGGGTCTTGTATGGGACGAGGGGATTCGACAAGATCTACGCTGTCTGTGATTTTATTGCCAGTGACAGTCGTCCATGATGGACCAACAACAAGTGTTGAGTTTCGGTTACTGTTCGGAACTTGTGGTAATGGTTTTTTGCTTTCCATTGTTGCATTCAATGGATCTTGGGTGACATTGAGCATAAAAATCAATTCAATTTGAACTTACCTTGTAATTCTATTCCATGTTGAGATATAGTAAATGTATTGGTCATAGGCATTTTTATTTTTTAAAAAGAGAAAAAAAAAGTAAGCAAAACTTGAAATAGATAGTAGTAAATTAGACAATAACATGTTCCAAATTTGTAAATGAGAGATGTTTTGATGTTTTTGACTTTTTGGAAAGTTGTCACACTTTATTTTGCAGAAAGAAAAAAAGAGAGAGGGAATATATATCGAAAGAGAAAAGGTATGTGTTATTATGTATAAATATATATAAAATGAGTGGGAATGGGTATACATCATAAGCTTAGTTGCTAGTAATCATGTTGTCTTGAAAGTAGCATTTCTCACACATACGTTGTTGACGAGTGGCTAGTACGCTGACAGATTCTAATATGCCTTCAGGATCTTGCAAGATATCAGAAGGGTTTAAAAAGACCTTGTAAGGCGAACATTTATCGCAAACAACCAAACCACATTTACGACAATGATGTCTTCTTAAAAGTAAGCCGAATTTTCGAACACAAATACGACATGTTTTGGCGTTTGTGTCTGATTCCCAAACTCGTGTATGCTGTTGTTCTTCGGCTGTAAAGAGATCGACCGAGTTGAGCTGTTGAGGTGAAGCTGCCCAATGCACAGTGCGACCCTCTGTAGCCGAACTTAAACTGTTACTCCATGGGTTGGTATTGGTCGATACAACATCGTCTAAATCAAGCGTTAAACTAGGAGGTTCAGTTATTGAGTTGGAAGTTTCAAGCTCTCCAATCTTAGTATGAAGTTTTTCAATATGTGCTATATAAGAACGAACTAAAGTAGACGCTTGATGTATTCTAAACTCATTGTCATCGGCTATACAACCTTATCAATTTATAAATCATATACACACACATGCTGACTTACTCTTGATAGCTTCTGATAGAATATCAATGGCTTCTTTATACTTGGTAATATCTTGTCGCAATACTTCAGTATTACTTGTGTCTAAATCGGAATTCATGTCTGACTTGACAGACTGGATGACTTTCTCGGCCTTGAGCAGGTAATCTTGGTCATCTTGTGAATGGCCGCTTTCTTCCTCCTCTTCTTCCAAGTCGTTGGCAATTGTCATATTTTCACCACGATGACTTCCCTTGGTCAAGTCCATTCGGCGCTTCATAACGCGTACCCATCGTCTTCTTCTTACCCAATTATACCCACTTGTAGGAGCCACAGGTGTCCAAGCGGGATCTTCATCCGAAAATGAACGAGCATATTGCCAGCCTGAAGTAGGATCCACGCGAGGATCACTATAATCAATCTGCCAATCTGTCAACCAAAACCAGTTGGACAAATTACTGATCCGATGATTATTCGTGCTTGTGGCAGGCAAGACAACCATCTCTTTAGAAGAAGGCTCGCCTGAAGGATGAAGAGACCATGGACCACGCGTATCCGCTTTGGTCAAGTACGCTTCACTAAACTGGGGACGTGAAAGACCCAACAGAGAAGTAGAACGCTGGTTTTCATGAAGAATCACAATGACTGTGACATGGAACTCTAAAAGATCATAGGTTGCACCAAACATAGAAGCACGCTTGTTGCCGGGATTCAAAACGCCTAACATGATGTTGAGTAGGAGTGTGGCAGATAGTGTTGTGCTTACCTTCTGTGTGTTGAAGATGCCACCATTTACGACCTGCTTTTTCCAACATTTCACAAATATATGATTCACCTGCAGCTGCACTCACATCATAAGCAGCTTCACCAAAATTGTTCTTGATGAGCGGGTTTGCGTGTGCTTCATCTAATAAATATTCTACAATGGTCATATAACCTTTAGAAGCAGCATTGACTGAACATCGTGACATTAGATAACTTTTTTTTTTTTTGGGCTACACTTACTGAGCGGAGTATGACCCATCTTGCTTCTAACGTCTACTTTAGCTTTTCGATCTATTAAAAGTCGAACAATTCGAACGTAACCTCGTGAACAAGCATTATGAAGTGCAGTCCAACCATCTTTGTCTTTATGGTGGATATTGGCATTACTGTCTAACAAGTATTCTACTACATGATAATGACCATTATAGGCTGCTTTCAAAAGAGCCGTCTAAACAAGATATCAGTACTCAGCATGACATTACGTCTAACTTGCCTCTCCTTCTTTATCTGTAGAGTCTACGCGTACAGCATATTCTTCCACGAGGCATTCAATAATTTTCAAATGCCCTCTAGAAGCAGCAAAGTGCAAGCAAGTTAATCCGGTAGCGGGATGAGGATCGTTGACAGCTTTGAGTTGGTCAGGCACCATTTGCAAAAACTGTCTCAAGAGAGCCAAGTTGCCAGAGAGTGCTACGGATCGAAGTGTCTTGTGTTCTTTGGATTTGCTGGCTGTCTTTTTGGGTGCCTGAGAAGGAGGCGGGATATGAGGTAACTTGATAAACTTATTGTGTGCATAACCATAGTATTTATGAACTTCTCCAGGTACGGCCGGAGTGCAAAAATCTATCACGGTTGTCATGTATCAGGGGTAAAGAAGAAAAAAAGAAAAAGAGAAGGAAAGAAAGAAAAAGCTGTCTATTTGAAATGCTTGTATACATAAGGAGAGGCTGGTGTAACCTGCCTGTGTTTATTTTTCTTTGATATATACATATTCATGGTTTTACTGGGCTTGTAAAAGAAAAAAAAATAAATTAAGACAAAACAGAATCATGTTAGTACAGTAAAAAGTGATTTATCCTGTCTATAATAGATATCATTCTGCTCATTTGTAAAAGAAATCCTATGTAAATTCTTTAGACAAAGAAATGATAAATTCAGGTACCGTTGTCAAGGAGATCAAAGTTACCATCGCAACCGCGTCGCTAGAAAGACAACCAAAGGAGTTCCCTTCTACTTTCAATAAAAAAGTAAAAATGACATGTGTTTGTTTATCTATTCTTTTTTGTATATAGATCTAGAGTTGCACATACGCTATGGCAAGGATTGAAATTCCGTATTCAAATTTAATCAACGCCCACGAGCCGCTTTCTTTTTTTTTCTCCCTCTTTTTCTTTTTCTTTTTTTGTTTTTTCTTTACCAGAAAAAGACAAATTTTCTTTATGACTTTAATGACCAACGATAACACTGAAATAACTACGCAACAACCTGATGTGGTTGACCAAGAAGCACTTCGAAAACAATATGAAAACATGTCTTATAATGAAATGTCACAACGTATTGCCGAAAGCTATAAACAACTATCCGAAATCCTAGGCAATCGTATCAGCTTACCTACAGACAACGACACTTTGTCTTCAGCCAATAGCACAGCAGACTCCATACATGACTTTGAACAGGAAGACGAAAGCTCGATTATGAACAATCATGCACTTTCAACAGACCAAAAAAAGATCAAACTGAATAAACTGTTGATGAAAGCAGTGTCCAGTGGTGATGTTGAAAAACTCGCTTGTTTTTTACATCATCCTTTGGTGGATTTGGATGCTAAAGATGAAGATGGTACCACAGCCTTAATTTATGCTGCATGTTTTGGTAAATACGAAATTGCACAAGCATTGATTTCCGCAGGAGCCAAAATCGATGGTCAAGATGCACGTAAGTGATCCATTTTATCTCCTATTGAATGACTGACACGCTATATCATAGGTGGTTGGACTGCATTGATGTGGGCCACAACAAACAATCATGAAAAGATTGTTAAATTATTATTGGAAAATGGAGCTTCAGCACAAACAAAATCAGCCAAGGGACGTACTGTCTTTGATTTCGTCAAGAACGATGCTAAACAAATGGCAGATATTCTTGTGTCCAACACTAATCCTCGCGATAGCATTTCTTCTTTGACTTCCAGTATTTTAGGCAGTACTTCTTCTTCTACCTCTTCTAATGCAGGTGATGGCGATCGTTACTATCAATATTCTACTGAAGAAAACTATGAACACTTTATGACTCAAGATCAACAAACACGTCCTAAACTAATTGAAGAATTCTTAATGCAGACTTACAATCAACTAGATGATGATGATAATACAGAAGACGAACATGAAGATCAAGACGACGACGATGACAATGACAATGATAAGGATATTGAATTCAATTGGGAACGATGCATGCCTGATCAAATGTTTGTCTTTGCTGCAGATGATTTACCTTACATTCTTGATACAGTCATTACCAAGCTGACATTGCCTGTTCGTAATGTTCAAGAGATTTTCTTGCCTGCCAATGTTGTTTTTCTTAGTGCTCGATTTGCTCATTATTTCTCCAGTGCTGAATTGGCTGAAGAAGTTATGGAAGGTGCCTTGGAACGCATCAGTGCGAATATCAAGGTAAGAAACTATGTCTAATGAATACGAACACTTATACGATGACTAGAATAACACTCAAAATGTACACACCTTATCCTATTGGATGACCAATATGACTCGTCTCTTGTATTATCTCAAAAAGGACGCTGAATTGGTTGTAGCCACTGCCAAGTATCAACTTGAACTCTCTGAACTTGCCTCAGAAACCTACAATCATATTGTGACAGACATTGGCAAACGCATCACTCAAATCTTGGAACCAGCTATGCTTGAACATGATCCTATTCTTGGTATTATGGACGAAGTTAACTTTGCAGATGATTGGCAACGTTTCTTCCGTAGAAGTACAAGCAGTCGACGTTCTGAAGATATGCAGCGTAGTAATTCAAACACAGTGGATGTTCCTCTTCGTGTCTTGTCTCCCAAGACAATCACTCAGTTGTTTTCTTCCACTTATTATGTCTTTCAATCTTATGAAGTCCATTCAACCATTATTATTCAAGCCTTGGCTCAATTCTTTCACTTTTTGTCCTGTGAACTCTTTAACCATATCTTGAGCAAGAAAAAATATCTCTGTCGATCAAAGGCCATTCAAATTCGTATGAACTTGAGTGTGCTTGAAGAATGGATTCACCAACATCATTTACCTAATAGTCTGATTACTTATCTGCAGCCTTCTATTCAACTTACACAACTATTGCAGTGTATGTCTCAATTAGACACTGTCTCTAGCTTTCAATCGACTGTCAAGATGTTTAACGCCATTAACCCACTTCAAATTCGACGTTGTGTCATGAACTATCGATATGAGACACAAGAGACTCGTCTGCCTGAAGAAGTAGAACGTCATGTACAATTATGTGTGGAAGAAACACTGCGTATCAAACAAGCAAGACAGTCAAGATCATTTGAAAGAAGAAAGAGTATACCGCCTATGAGAAGATCTATGTCTGGCTTGGACAGTCCTACCATGAGCACATTTATGGGTTCTATCTTTAATAGTGGGTTACCTGCTACACCCACACGTCCTTCTTCTATTGAATTTATGCGACAAGAATCTTCAAAACACAAACGATTTTCTAATTCAACTCAGGAAGAAGAGGAGTATGATGAGCATGAAGAAGAAAAGATATACAGTAAAGAAGAAGTGAATGAAACCAAAGATTCTCGGTTTATGTTACCTTTCTTTGTGCCTACAACAGCTCAATTATCACATCAGACATTGATCAATGGTAAAGAACCAAGTTCATTGTTTCCTGTCATACCTGAAGATTGGATGGATAAACTCGATAAATCAGACTCATAATGGCCCATGTATAAAAAAAACATATCACCCAAAAAATGTATTCGCATATAAAGTAATCCTCCCTTCTTCCTCCCTCTCCTCCCCCTTTTTTTTATTCTCTTATACCCAACCTACACTCGTTCTTTTCTTTTCTTTTCTCTCTTTCTTATATTTATATATCTATATGGCACCTTTATGGACTATTTTATATGCCTTCTTACACTTTATTGGAAATAAAAAAAAATTAAATAGTAACAGTATATGATTGCTCGACAATATGGCTAACCAATACCAAGCTGTGATTGATGTAAATAGCAGCTACATCAAATATCATTTTTGTCAAGTAAACCTATGCTTTTATTCTACACAGTTTACGGTATTATGCTTTGGGGAACGTATTATTCATGGATCGAAAGCATGTAATTTTTATTTTTGGTTTCGAAAATCATGAAAAGATATTCTGTATGTGTATAAATGTTCTCTATTTTATTCTTCCTGCTTGTCTTCTTTTTTTGCTTCTACTTTCTTGCCTTCTTCTTCTGGTTTGTCTTCTTTTTTACTTCCTTTTTGTTCTTATTTCGTTTTTGACGTTTTGCTCTTTTCTTTGCTGTACGCTCTTCGTCTTCTTCACGTAAACGTCTTAGTTTTTCAGTATAGGCTTCTTTTTCTTTTTCCTATTCAACACTAAGCATATACATACTTTTATGATATACTTGCCTTTCTTTCTTCTTCTTCCATGCTTTTTAGTCGAGCATATTCTCTTCTTCTTTGAGCTCGATAGACATGAAAATCACCACTACCAGCACCAGCACTAGAACCTATGATGCTGTGAGTCTATATTTTGTATTATTCTGGTTTTACCTGCTACATTGCGCACAAAATCTTTGGGTGGAGCAATAAAAGGTCGTCCTTGTGTTCTTTCTGGAATCGCGACAGGTGTATCGATCTTTTCAAATAACCGATTGAGTTGTTCTTGTTGCTTTTGTTGTGGTGTTAAATTGTGTCTATTCTTTCTTTGTTCTGTTTCATTATCGAGTGGTGGAGATGACATGATAACAAAAGAGAAAAAAAAGAGAGAGAGATATATATATAAAAAATGAACTTGTGACTTTATTTAATCTTTCTTTAAAGGTACAAGTTGAACTTCAACAGGTTGATCTTTACGAATAATGAAAATCTCAAGGTTATCACCTGTATAAATATCGCGTTCTGTAGCAGAAGTAAATGCATCCTTTACAATTCGAAGTGCTTCATCCAATTCCATGTCTTCAAATGCAACATTTTCCATATTCTTTTTACTGACCTATCATAATACGATAAGATTTTACTTGATGACTGTAATAAAAAGCTTACTTGATTATCCAAGAAGGGTTGAATCAATGCAGATGCTGAGCCATTCGCACGACACTTTTCACGTTCAAATGATCCAATAGCATCATAAGCATAAACAGCACCACGACCCTCTTCATCAACACCACCTAAAACACAAAAACTATAATAAGGGAAAAATCGTCTTTGATACAATGTGATGGAAAGCATTTGTGCTAAGGCAGTGACAGACATGTCTTTTTCATGATTGAATTTATACCACTTGTTCTATATTGAATATCATCATGCATCCATAACAGTGGCTTACCTTGAGTCTTTGATCAAGTACTTTCTTCAAAGTTAAACCATCAGCATGAAATCCATTCATAGCAATAGCTGCTGTTTCTGTTAATTTATAGGCTTTGGGTGCATATCTTGAATTGATGCTGTAACCAGTACTTTGTCTGGTGTCAGAAGCAATCAAACAAAAATCCTTTCCTGCAATAGCCAAGGAAGTACTATAGATGAGGTTACTATCTGTTTGGTATATAGTTATTTCTTTTACCCTCCATTGTCATCATAAGGCTCGAATCTATGTTGCATAGGTGCTGAAGTAGTTTCCATTGAGTTGAGTGCGTAATCCATACTTGACATAAGAAATAATAATAATAATAAAAAAAAAAAGGACGCGCGGCAAGCTCTTTATTTTGTTTGGCTTGCTCATCAGGATAGCCAATCCGTGACGTCAAAATATTCAATATCCGCAAGTGAGAGACAGAGAGAGACGCGTGTCTAAGCAGAACAAGACACACCTTTTTTTTTTTATCTTTGATATAACCTAATGAACAGATTCGTTTCAAGATACTCCTCTTCGCCTTTGACGTTGCCTAAAGAAGAAAGCTTTGGTCAACTCTGTGGTCAATGGGATGCTGCTCAAGACTTGGCTTTCCCTGCTTTTGATATTCCTGCTATCCATAACGTAAGTCATTTGTTTTCTTTGGTATATTCACATGCTCTATGCTTAGCCTGTCGATTTCTTAAAAAGTGTCACTGATGAATCCTCACCTGAATACAAAATCAAGATTCAACATGGTACTACTACACTTGCTTTTCAATTCCAAGGAGGTGTTGTTGTCGCTGTTGATTCAAGAGCCACCATGGGCAACTATATTGGTACGAATGCATCTCCACAACGATAGAATGACTCACTTTAGACACTAGGTTCTCAGACAGTAAAGAAAGTAATTGAAATCAATCCTTATTTATTGGGTACAATGGCTGGTGGTGCAGCTGATTGTTCTTACTGGGAACGTGAATTGGGAAGACGTTGTCGTCTACATGAATTGAGGAATAAGGAACGTATTTCAGTGGCTGCTGCATCCAAGTTATTAGCTAATATGGTCTATTCCTACAAGGGCATGGGATTATCTATGGTAAGTCAAAGTGATAAAGCAACAGTCATACTGATGTTTAACACTTTAGGGTACTATGGTCACAGGTTGGGATAAATCAGTAAGTACATCAAATACAGACACAGTAGAGACTTATCCTTGATGACAGGGTCCAAATCTCTTTTATGTTGATTCAGATGGTACAAGATTAAAGGGTGATATTTTCTCTGTCGGTTCTGGTTCAACATTTGCTTATGGTGTTCTTGATACTGGTTATGATTTTGATTTGTCTGTCAAGGATGCTCTTGAACTCGGTAGAAGATCCATTTACCATGCTACACATCGTGATGCCATGTCTGGTGGTTCAGTTAATTTGTATCATGTTACTGAAGAAGGTTGGACATACCATGGCAATCATGATGTTGGTCAACTTCATTGGGATTACCAAGATGGTATTGTTAAAGACATTGTTTAAATAATAATAAAAAACTCTCTTTATATATATATAGACACGTCTTTTTTTTTTTTAGTTTTCTTTATTTTTTTTTATCATGTCTGATTTAGAAGCATGGGTTGATCAAGTTCTTCAAATCGATAGTTCAAAAAATAGACAGGATGTCTTGGTTGATTTGAAATATACAAATAGTATAGAAACAACCATCAATCGCATATTGGATGGTCAAGTAAAGTACTTAACAGAATAAACAACGATGCTCATGACTTTTTCTAGTTTCTTCAAGGCACTACGCGCGATAAGACCATGATCATCCTTGATTCCGATGACGATGACTTGCCTACGGAATCTCCCAGGTAACTTATTGTTATTGTTTGTCTTGTGTGCTTATGGTTAATGTAGGAAAGCGATATCCAGTCCATGGACTGAACAGCTTGATGATCTACCTTCTTTATCCACAAAGAAAACATGGAATGATGTCGATGGTCTTGACAACCAAGCAGATATCGAAATCCTTTCTTCTTACTCAGACAAGCAAGCTTCTTCCTTAAGTGTGCGTCAACCTAAAGCATGGCCTGATGAATTTGATTCACCCGTTCAACAAACAAAAACATCCTTTATTGAGTTGGATTCGTCATTAGGTCTGGATTCACCTGTGCATCAACGTAAAGCATCGTTTGATACCGATCTGGATCCTTTGTTTGATATGGACGATTCAACCAACAATGACTTGGATCATGATCTTGACTTGGATAGTTTGCCTACCAAGGGCAAGACATCGATGAATGCCGTTGATTTGAATTCTTTACCACAGGATGATCTCACACTTGGACAACAAGACTCAGACGATGACGATTTACCTTTATTGTCCACGACAGATTTTTTGATGAGTTATTGACTCAAAAGAGACCTACACCTGTGGTTCAGATTGAAGATGATGATCTCGTCATCGTCGATCGAAAGGGAAAAAGAAAAGCAACCACACCAACTGCCTTACTGGACTCACAAGAGAACTTGACACCTAAAGAAATAAAGAAACGAGTGACCGAAGAAAGAAAACGACAACGACTTGAAGCAGCTCAAGAAAAGAAGAAAACCACAGCACTAGAGAAACAAAGACTGAAAGAAAAGAAACAGCTGGAAAAGGAGCGTACTGCCCTGTTTGAAAAAGAGAACAGAGTACGCAATGATCGTACTAAAGTCTTGCAGGAAATGTTGGTCGATATCCATCCTGATTTCTTGGCTTCTAAAGCAGGTCAGTTAGTTGAACGCGTCTTATCTGCAAAAGAAGCCACAATTCAAGACTTGACAGACCATGAATTGTTACCGAACTATACGATTGGATGGCGTCGTCAATGTCGGTCTGAATGGGATAGTGATAGTCAGACATTTGTTCCTTTAGTCTCGTCTAAAATAGTCAAGGAACCTGTTATTTTGGTCTATTTGGATACACTGACATTGATTAACCATGTCCAGTCAAACACATTAGATGCATGGATAGACCGTTTAGAACGAGATAGAGACTATCAGATCATGCTTTTGATTGAAGGATTAGACCATTACTACAAGAAGAAGATGTTGATCAAACGAAGGCAATTTGCTTCTCAAGTGCTAAATACAGAACCCACACAAAAGAGAAAGAAACACAACAGCCTAAACCAAGCAATTGAAGAAGGACCTGGTCGAGAAGAAATAGAAGAGAGCCTGAATTATCTTCAATGGATACGGCATGTTATGTTGGTCACTACAAAAGATGAACAAGACACTGCAAGTTGGATAGAGAGTCTGACAACAGATTTAGCTCTAAAGAGATACAAGTCTAAAAACCTCAATACGACTTACAAGATCAGTAAATCAAGCCATGATCCTCAAGATATATTCTATACCATGTTGCAAGAAGTACAGCTATGTACGCCTGCTATTGCATCCAGTATTATGCGTGCTTATCCTACCCTACAAGCATTAAACAAAGCCTATGACAGAACAACAGAAGATGCTGAACTATTACTGGCTGATCTTGAAGTAAAGCACATCCATGCTATTTGAATGTCAATAACACTTTTTTGTATAGGTTGAAAGAAGCGCATTACATATAAGGGATCGCAATATCAATAGAGTGATGTCAAAGAAGATCTATAATATCTTTAATAGTCATGATCCTGAGCAAATTATTTATTGAATGTCATGCTTTGGGAACACACACCATAAAGGTCGATGTCGCTTAGAATTCAAACTCAGATCGAAAGGCATTCAAGTTATGCTGATCACATTCTCTTGCTAAATCTTCTCTATGCATACTGTAACATATAATATCAATAAAAAGTCTTTTTTCTTTAAGAAAAAAAAACACTTACCTTGACATTAACATACGCAGACTGGACCAAATATTATCACTCATACCACCAGGAACAGGTATATGTTGGCCGTGTTCATCAATCATCACAGAGCCACCTGCTCCATTACTACCATCATTTGATTTCTGAAGAGCCAAGGCAGTCAGTAAATGTTCTGCTGCTTCACGTTGTTGTCCTAGGTTAATACAGCTAATGGCCAGATTGTATCGTGCACGGACGTAGGTAGGGCTGATTTCTAAAGCAGTAAAATAAGCATCAATGGCACCTGCTGCATTACGAGAATTAGCCAAAGTAGCACCCAACTTATTCCATAGTAAATAGTCTTGAGGTTTACTGGTCAATGCTGCTTTAAAGCAATCAATTGCCTTGTCATACTCTTCAGATACATTGAACAAAACACCCAGACCCACTTGTACATCAGCATCCATTTCTTCACCAGGAGAACTACGGGCTGCTTCAAGAAACATGTTGGTAATATAGCCATGACGGCCTTCAGGTCCCATCTTGTCTTTGCCTGTTGCAAGGTGTCTGTATCGATCATGATTGGCTATCCATTGCTCTAATGCATCATAAGCATCTGCCCGGCAATTTTCGTTTGTATAACTGACAGCCAAGGCAAGCCAGCCGTCCAATAAGCCTGGGTTCATGGTCAGTGCTTGTCTGAGTGCAGCAATGGCAGCACCATCACGCTCGTTTTCTTGTTGACGCAGACCCAGTGTCTTCCAAGCATTGGCATCGGATGTTTGTAACTGTGTCTTGGCCTCTAAAGCCAAGATAGCATCTGCTAAATGATCGCTGTGTATACCCTGATCAATCAATTCGGGTTGTAACAGGTAGGGATTCTGCGTTGAGAAATGGTACGTGTTGTATTCAGGATTCGTGGCACGATAACCCATACCTTGTTCAGGTCGAAATTGTTCCCAATCCTTCTGCATGGCATCCCAAGCATGGTCTTGAGCATTTTTGAGATGGGCAATGTTCTTATTGTACTGTTCTACCCAGTCTTCTTTATCGGCTGCTTTTGTAAACAACGTCTGCATATCTGCGGGATACTTGTTGAATTCAGCCGACCATTCACCCGGCTGTTGATGTTGTTTATGTTGTTGATGGAATTCGTCTGTCCAGCCTCTTTCTAGTTTGGTAGCAAACTCGGTTGACCACATATTACCTTTACTGCCAGCATGTTGTGTGAATTCAGTGGTCCAGTCGCCTTCTTTGTCTTTCTGGAAATCAGAAGCCCAATCATGGCCTGATTTTGTCTCGACCATTCTATCGCCTTGAATAGCCACTTCGCTGTCTCGTAATTGACGCATCAAATGCATGAATTGAGATTGTTTAAATTTAGGGTTGTTTTCTATATCCACAGAATCCAACAACATGCCTGCTGTCTTGGCTAATGCTTCATTGTCTGTACTGGCCATCACTGTCTTTTCCTCTTGGGCTTCAAATTCAGTTGCCCAGGATGATTCTTGTGCTGTAAATTCTTGTTCCCAATTCACTGCTTGAGGTGTTCCTTGTCTTGCTTGATCAAATGCTTTTTCAAACGCTTCTCGTTCTTGTGCATGAAGTACTTGGTTTCCTTCGAATGCCTCAAAATCCTTATGCCAATCCACTGGACCTGCTATGCTGGATATCAGTCTATCGTTTCTAGTTTATTTGTATACCTGGTCGTTGATGCTGCTGATAGATCTTTTCAAACTCATTCATGGAATGATGTGCGGGTTGCTGATGTTGCATGAAATCCTGAGTCCAATCAGGTTGAATTCTATCTAATTCATGATGAAGACCATTGAACTGAAATACGTTGGTTGCTGGTCTGTCCATGTTCATTTCATCACGAAAGAACTCATCTGCCATCTTGTGACTGGGTTACTATGGGTGGATGCAAATCAATACTTACCTGTGATCCTTGCATAGGCGCTTTCATAGTCTGTCTTGTTCTAAATCCAGCCTGATGAACTGTAAATATTCTATAGTGTACTTTATCCTACCTTCGAACTTTCGCCTTGTTGTTCTGGTCCAAAACGATCCTAGAGTGTAATTCAGCATCCTATTGTCTGCATACAGTCTTACTTGTTGAAGTGATCTATCTTGACCTAATTGCTTTAATAATCCTGACATAGGATTGACAGGCCCACAGTCTGCACCACTCATAAAAGACATTGTATAAAAAAAGAAACAAAGAAAAGAAAAGAAAAAGGAGTTGTGTGGATATTTTATTAGTCATCTTATCAAGTCCGATAGCATGTGAGATTAACTTCTCAAAGCACCGTCCAATCGAATCACAGTACCATTCAGCATAGGATTATGAATGATTTGCATGACTAAGTCAGTGAATTCTTGAGGTACACCATATCGATGAGGAAATAAAGAAAATGGAGCCACCACATCATGAACAGAGGATCGACCCAGAATAGGTGTATCTACACCATGGATAAGTCTTTATTATTATTATTATTTTGAACTCACCAAATGGACCTGGTGCAATACTCATCACACGAATACCAAACTTGGATAATTCTCTAGCCATGGGTAATGTCAATCCAGCCACACCAGCTACCCTAATAGTGAATACATTTTAGATGATAGGCTTGTATCTTACCCTTTGAAGTACCATAGCCTACAGTCGTACCATCTAGACCAAGAATAGAAGATACAGTGATGATCATGCCCCTTTCACCATCTTGATTCATAGGCGTATTATTCAGTAGTATATTGGCTACTTTCTGTGCTACACAATAGGTACCCAGCAGATTGATTTTGATGATATGTTCAAATTGGGAGTAACTCGTTAATGCATGATCAGGTCCATAGCCTTCTATGGATTTAGGTGGATAGACAACACCACTACAGAGAATAGCACCAGCCAATACGACTTGATTAAAATGCTGTAGGGTATCAGCAAGAGCACGGTCTACATGTGCCTATGTCAAGTGTGTCAACGAAAGGGGTTTGTGTGTTTTCTACTTTACTTCATTTGTTACATCTGTCATACCAGGAAAGAAACACTTTTGAGACCCTAGTTCAGTAGCTATAGTCTTGCCTCGATCCATATTGATATCCAATATCTAACCATAGTTGTCCATTAAACGTATATTTTAGATATAGACACTTACAGACACAAACCCACCTTGTTCTACAATAGAACGAACAACATGTTCACCTAACCCACTTGCACTATAACAAGTTCAATAAGATACATAAAACCTTTCTCTCACCCTCCAGTCACAATGAATAAATAACCTTGAATCTTCATATGAGTGAATTTTTTTTTTTTTTATTTATTTATTATATATATATACAAATCAAGCATCTTTTGTTCGCTTAAAATGGTAAATTTAAGGAGTCTATAAATCCATTCTTCTAGAAGCTGTTCTTGTGTAAGAGGCCAAATGCCATTCAACATCAGCATCTGTTAGATCAACTGTACCCAGTCTAATTTCGTAGGCTATTGACATGTTATTTCATTGATATCATCTTATAAACACTTACGTCGCATCTCAAAACGAGGTCCAACTTCTGCTAGTTCAACTTGATTTGCTGCTTTCACATAAACATGATGTCTATAGTCTGTTAGAAATAATAATCCAACATGATCATCTAGTTTAGTTTACCTAAATGAGATATAGTCATTGTCATTACAGAAAGTCATCACACGCTTTGTGTCATCTTTAGGGACAGGAAACAAATATTTCAAAATATTGGTAATCTAATGGATATCAGTACACTTTCTTAATAGACTACACTTTACTCTTGCACCCAGTTTAGAATTAAAGTTTTCGAATATTAAATGAGGAAATGCTTCAGATACAGTGCCTTGGTCTTTAATGTCATGACGAAGCACAACGTTATGCAGAGAGAAATAACATGTAGGACCATAAGGAAAATGACTGACGATCATACCATCTAAGAGAAAAAGGATTTAGGTATGATTTCTTGGTGTGAATTTCTTCTTACCTGGTTGACCACGGTGTTCATGCAAGACGATCAGATCTGTTACTTCATTTGCTCTACAAGCCTCTACAATTTCCTTCATCACATGACCACCACGATTGATACGTTGACTGTTGGGAAACACAAGACGCATTTCTTTAGAAAATTGTTGTAAACGACTACTAGGATCACGGGAAGTAGTGATCAGGATCTTGGGATCATAAACACCTGCACGAGCATATTCATCATCTTCATGGGTGGCAGGAGCTAATCAAGACAATAAGTAAAATGCTGATCATGGATAAATTTACCTTCTTGAGCTTGATCATAACCGAGATCTTCTTTGGATGCCTTGTCCATGTTTCTCAATTCAGTGGGAATTTGCTTACCCTCTAGTTCATGAGTAAGTCGAGATAGTAACCAGGAAAAAGTGACTTACGTTCAAGAGCTTCCTTGATCTTTTGTTTACGTTCATAGATGGTACGTTCCTTGGATTCAAGGGATTTTTTGTAAAGATATTCTCTACGAAGACGGGTGTTTCTGCGGATCTATAGTTCAACATACAGTTTAGCCATAGTTGGTACAAAGGCATGATCAACATACCATGTGTCTACTGTATAAATATGCTAAAAAGAAAAAAAAATGTGAAGGATTGGCTTTGGTCAAAAGAAGAGGTAAAAAAAATGTGACTGTCCTGCCTGAATGAAGAGCCTCAATTTTTTGTCTGAAAGTCTCAAATCAATGATTGCATGCAAACTATGATTAGATGACTTTTTTCTTCTACAGTGTATTAACAAAAGCTGTATGTATCTGTTTTCTAACTTGAATGATATAAAAACTGATATATTTTCTTTGGAGAATTTTTGAGAAATGAAGCAAAATCGATTCTATTAGTTAAATCTCTTTAAAATAATACCGTAATAGAAAGTACACTTTTCTCAGTAGTTTCTGTGTTTAAACGTGATGGCAGCATTAGTCTTCGACCTACAAAGTCGAAAAGAAGTATCTAATCGGACTTTGAATATGTAGGCCATGAATGAAGGCCTTTGGTCAAAATGGATTTGTGGCCATTTTGCCAATGTCAGCTTTTCTTGCTTAAAACAGCACTAGAAGTATTCTATAGTATTCAGAATAACTTCTAGATATTTATACTAACTAAAAAAATTAATTTGGCAGTTTTTATTGACTTAAAAAAGTAGTACTTAAGCCTTTTAAAGTGAATAAATCATTATCTTTAAACGTTTTCTGTTTGTGATGCATAATTCCATGTATCTACAGTATGAAATCATCTCTATTTATCTTGAGTGATTTATCTTTTCTTGTTTTAGAAGAGTAAAAAAAAAATTGATCATAAACATGTCTTTTTACTTTCGCTGTAAACGGGAAATGATTAACATTCTCTTACGAATTTCTTCAGTGAAAGCATCAACTATTACTCTTTAATATTCATAGTTAGTTCAAGATAATTGCCTCTAAGCTAAAGACATTTTACCGTGCATAGCCTTGCAACCCGATTTTATATCCTGCTATCAGTCGAGTTGCTTTATCCTAATGGGTTCATGACAGAGTCTATAAACCGCTCAAATCATTTCTAGCAAAGATCAAGATTATTCTCACTTTTTATCATTTTTATCTTGACCATTTGAGTTACTTGCTAGGCCGTTAGTATTGACTTAAATACTTTTTATTTGACTTCTTGGATATAGATATAAGAAAGTCATTTGTATTTAATCTTTTGTTTTCTCTTACTTTAAATCAATTGTTACTTAATGATGTATTGTTTATTACCCATAATCTCTTCTTGCTCTGCACTCTGTTATATACAGCGTTGGCATAAAAAAAAAGAAATCTCCCGAAATACCAAAAAACAATTTCAAACCAAAAACATATTGGAAACGTCTCACGAAATCCCGCGGGAACGAAAAAAAAATTACGCCTCATAGGGGGCTCGAACCCCTGACATTGAGATTAAAAGTCTCACGCTCTACCAACTGAGCTAACAAGGCTTTTGATATTAAAATTTGCTACTTTAAAACGGCTCAAACACAAAAGTTTCCAAAAAAGATTTTCCCATAAATAGCCACCCCTTTACACTTAAAAGGAAATCAATCTAAACACGTCAGCAGGATACTTAACAGATTTGCCATCAAACTTATCATTTTTTTTTTGAGAAAAATTAAACTCTAGGAATTAAGCAATTCACAAGTATAGGCAATATTTACATTAGACTATAAAAAAGAGCAGAGAATAGAAGGGATATGAACCAATATAGGATTGTTCGACAATATGGCTAACCAATACCAAGCTGTGGTTGATGTAAATAGTAGTCACATCAAATATCATTTTTGTTAAGTAAACAACCTATGCTCTATTCTATACAGTTTACAGTGTTGTGGCTCAGGAACTTATTATTAATGAAAAGATATTCTGTATGAGTGAATAAATGTCTTGCCATTTTTCAGCAAAGACAATTCTGTTTAGATTCCTACTGATCTTCCAAATGATAAAGTAGTAAAGAATAAAAATAGACCATTTATCAAGTGAAAAGATACATGTTGTTCTTTATGAAGATGTAGTAATTCGATAAAATATTTGTATTGCTTATGTAACATGGATTAAGACTGTAGATTGACACCAGTGTTGGCTTGTTTTTTTTTGTTCATACAAAACAGCTTAACAGACACGAACTTGCCTCTTGTTCTCAACTTTTTGAGCAATATCACCGCGCGAAATGAGTTGCATGAATATGCGTAGCAGTCTTTCTTTTTTTTTTTCGGAGTATCATCAAAACGCGTCGTGTCTTTGCTATCAATTTTTTTTCTCAATTCACTTTTGTCCATATGGGTATAGAAGACTATTTCAAAAAGGCAAAGAGCAACTACATACTCGCTTAAGAAATAATCCTTTCTCTAATACCTTTCTATAGGCAGATACCGGAAAGACGCCTGCTGCTCGAAAGAGAAAGCCAACTGGTAAGCAATTATAGTCATGTAAACGCGATTCTAATAATGATTTATAGAAAAAAGTGACGACGATGATGACTTGTAATAAATCCAATCCATAGCTGTAGCATACGCTAACTAGTCATTGTAGTCAAGAACCGAAACTGAAGTCTAAGCACTTTGCTTCAACTGAAAAAAAGTAATATATCAATATGAGATTGCCAATCGTTGTTCACCTCATTATTATAGAACTGTGGATCCCAAAGACTTTTTCAGTAGCAAGCCTTCCGCATCGAAATCTAAAGTTTCCAAGGCAACTAATGAGTCAAAGAATGTTGATTCAAAGACGGCAACTACTAACGAACCAAAGGCCAAAGAACCAAAGGCCAAAGAACCAAAGGCCAAAGAACCAAAGGCCAAAGAGCCAAAAACCAAGGAAACAAAAGCTAAAGAAACAAAAGCTAAAGAAACAAAGGCTAAAGACGTTAAGAAGCCAGTAGCAAGCAAAAAGACGTCAGCTACTAAGCGTAAATTGGAAGACGAGGATGATTTTGAGGGTAACGAAGAGGATGATGAGGAAGAAGATGACTATAAAAACGATGAAGCAGAGGATGATGACGATTTTGAAGAGGAAGAAGAAGAGCCTGTGCGTCTTCAAAAGAAGGCAAAAAAAGCAACATCACCTCCACCTCCAACGAAGAAGACGCCTTCAGAAAGTACAGCTCAAGAGCCCAAGACTAAATCCAGACGTGTTCTTCCTACTGCTAAACCTACTGATAATGTACCTATCAAGCAAGAGAATGAGCCAGAAGAGGAGAAGCCTAAGACTGCTAAAAAGAACTATTTTGCCATGATGAAGAGTGTTGAAGGACCTAAAGCTTTAGGCACTCGCCCTGAACCAGTGGGTGCTCCTAATTGTTTTGATGGATGTGCTTTTGTTATTAGTGGTCAATATGAAACTTTGACAAGAGAACAAACCCAAGACATCATTAAGCGTTATGGAGGGTAAATTATTACTTTTGTACTTTTTTTTTCTAATCCTGCTACATCTAGTCGTGTCACTGGTGCTGTAAGTGGTAAAACAACTTATTTGTTAAGAGGCAGGGATGCAGGCGAATCGAAATTAGCTAAAGCAAAGTCTTTGGGTACCAAGATTCTTGATGAAGATGAATTTTATCAACTTGTTGAAAATTCAGTTCCCAAGAAAGCATCTGTTCCTACTCCCTCACCAGCTAAAGAAAAAGTCGACACTGCTAAACCTAGTCCTGCTAAAGGAAAAGGGAAAACAACTAAACCCAATCCTGCTTCACCATCGTGAGTCATATGATTAGATCAATCAATCATTAATCATTTTCGTAGGAATAATGACCAATCTTCTATCTTATGGACTGAGAAATACAAACCTACTGAGCTTAAAGAAATCATTGGCAACAAAGAATTGGTTAACCAAATCTCACAATGGCTTGCTCACTGGCAGGAAAATGCTGCTGCAAATTTTGATGGAACAGGCATGCAAAGCTACAGAGCTCTTTTACTTAGTGGTCCTCCAGGTATTGGTAAAACAACCACAGCCAATGTTGTTGCTCGTATCAATGGGTATGAAGCTCTTGAGTTCAATGCAAGTGATGTTCGTAGTAAAAAGATTTTGGAAGAAAGTATTTCTGAAATGATGGATAATCGTACAATGACAGAATTCTTTCAGTCAAACGAAAAGCAGGCAAGAGAATAACATAAATCTTGTTTTTTATTCTAACTGAAATTGTAGGAAAATCGTCTTCTCAAGGGTAAAAAAGTAGTTTTGATTATGGATGAAGTGGATGGCATGTCTGCTGGTGATCGAGGTGGTTCTGCTGAATTGGCCAAATTGATCCGAGCAACCAAAATTCCTGTGATTTGTATCTGTAATGATTCCCGATCACAAAAGGTGGCACCTTTGTTAAGGGTTTGTTATGAAGCCAAATTTAGAAGGTTAGAAGGAGAGAAAAAGAAAATGCATACTTACATTATTGAAGATCTACTGCTGCTCAAATTCGTTCCAGAATCCTTTCTATTGCATACAAGTAAGTTTGTGCTCAATGGCGATAAGGTTTGCTTATTAGAAAAAAATATTGTAGAGAAAAACTCAATATTTCACCTAATGCTATTGATGAATTGGTTGCTGCCACACAAAACGATATTCGACAAATAATCAATATCTTGTCTACTTATCGCCTAAAAGAGACTGACATGAGTTATGATCAAGCAAAGACAGTAGGCAAGAACAACCAAAAGCATTCTATCCTTGGTTTGTTTGATATTCCTAGCGAACTCTTATCTGCTGGTAACTGGCGTAACAAATCATTGTCCGAGAAGTATGAAGTTTACTTTCATGACTACAGTCTTTCTCATCTTATGATTCAAGTAAGACACATTATTACGTCAGTATATCTTGACCTCATACTGTGTTTATTGCATAGGAAAACTATTTGAAATGTTCACCTGAAAGAGCAAGATCTGAGACGGGCAATCCTAATGAAATTGCTTGTAATGAAATGGATTTGTTTGCTCAAGCAGCTGAAGCTATTGCTGATGGCGATCTTGTTGATACAATGATTCATGGGTAAGAAAAAAAAAGCAAGCAGAGACTTGTTATTGACATAACATTATAGTACTGTTCAACATTGGTCTCTTATGCCTGTTCATTCCATTTTTTCATGTGTAAGACCCTCCAGTTATATTCGAGGTGGTGTTCGTAGTCAATATGGTTTCCCTGGGTAAAATAACATATTATGCTTACCATCAACTCATGCATTTCTTAGTTGGCTTGGTCAGTTCTCTAAGGCAGGCAAGTATGCTAGACAACTGAGTGACGTTCAAACTCGTATGCGCATTAAGGCCTCCGGTGATAAATTCGAGATACGACAAAACTATGTTCCAACATTGAACGATCGTATTTTTAGTGAGCTTTCTCAGGTAAGCAAAACGATTAGTCTTGTGTGACATGTCGTACTGAATTTTTTTATTACCAGGAAAACTACGACGAAGCAATGGAGATCATGGATACGTATTACCTTGATCGTGAAAGCTTGGATACATTGAATGATTTGACATTTGCTCCAAGTGGAAAAGGACCTTTGGCCCAATTGCCTACTAAAACCAAGACAACACTTACTCGAACGTAAGTGAATCTAGATAAAAAATATAGTTCTGATATAATATATAGGTACAACGCTAGAAAACATCCCATTTTATTCCAAATTAGCGGAGTACCAATTAGAAAGTCAGTTTCTGGACCTAAGGAAGATGCTGTCGGCCTTATTGTGAACGATGATAAGCCTATTGGTGATGATTTGTCTGAAGAAGAAGAGGAAGAATATCAAGATCCTACAAAAGAGCTCAGTGATGTTAAATACATAAAGGAGAAAGTCAATAGGAGAAGAAAAGCAGATGCTCCATCCGGTAGAAGAGGAAAACGAAAGATCGAATAAATTTGCTTCTGGACGGACCTGTTCTCTTTTTTTTTTTCGAGACAAATCGATATATATCAAATTGAAGAGTGTATATTTTAGTTAAGTTTGATTGTGTAGCAGACAGTTGAGCAAATCAATTCAGGTTCTTTTTGCCTTGAATCAAAAGTTGAATGACTGGTATTCATTTTAGTTCTTCTAGAGACCATTTCTGTCTAACAATGAGGGTTTTGGACATATTACAATGTTTTCTGGTTGATTCTAACATATACTATTTCTTTTTTCAAGATAGCTTGCTTACACAGAAAGAAAAGATTGTTTGAATTTTGTAGATTCGCTTAGACAATAAAGTTTGGTTTTTTCTAAAGTATGATCGGATAATCCTATTCTTAGGCTTTGTTTTACTGTAAAGATGTAAATATCTGGGCCCATCTATATGCTATAAAGATCTGATATACAGTTCGATCAGACTTAATAATATTGATGTTTTGCTTGCAGATATCTCAAATGAATAACTCAGAGTCTCAAGAGATAGTTTTCAAGAGTAAAAACAAAACAACAACAGGCTTCATACGTCTGACAAGTCAATAAAAAAAATTCGGAGCAACATTCACTTGTGCAACAAAGCCAAGATGAGAATCAATAGCAAAAATGATACGTCACACCAAAAAAGGTAAAAGTGCCATCTCTCCTTAATTTAACAATCTACATTGCTCTTTTCTCTTTCTTTTTCTCTCTTTTTCTTCTTATTTATTCTTTCTTCACTTAAAACATGGCGACAGACTCTTTTCTTGCAAGCCTCAAGGCTTTTGATACACCTATGATTTGGCTTGGACTCTACTTTTTCTTCAACTTGTCACTCACATTGTATAATAAGATTATCCTGGCTTTATATGATTTCCCTTTCCCTTGGACACTTACAGCCATACATACTCTCTGTGGAGCCATTGGTTCTTATTGCTTCTGGAAAGCTGATTTGTTTACACCTGCTTCACTTGGAGAACAAGAAAACATGGTCATGTTGGCCTTTTCAGTCCTTTATACTATCAACATCGCTATCAGCAACGTATCACTGTAAGTCAAATCGAAAAGAGCCTGTCTTTGGTTGCTAAACTTTTTTTGTTTATAGAAACCTTGTTACTGTGCCTGTAAATATATATATATATAGATTTTTTTAAAAAAAAATTAAATGACTTCTTAAAAGGGTATAGTTGAAAATGCTAACATTTGATTTATCTAGTTTCACCAAGTTGTCCGTGCCATGACTCCTGTCTTCACTGTCATGCTCTCTATCATGTTTTTGAACAAGACTTATTCTACAATGACATATATTTCATTATTACCTGTAAGTCGAAAGAAAGGAGAGAGAGAGATTTAGGGGAATTGGTTGTAATATCTATGTTAGGTGGTATTGGGTGTTGGTTTCGCTACTTTTGGCGATTACGATTATACTCGATTGGGTTTTATTTTAACTGTGCTTGGAACTCTTTTGGCTGCTATTAAAACAGTCGTGACAAACCGTGTTCAAGTTGGACGTCTCAAGTTACACCCATTAGATCTCTTGCTTCGTATGTCTCCTCTTGCTTTTGTTCAAACTATGATTTACTCTTACGTCACTGGTGAAATGGACCAAGTCATGGAGTTTTGTCAAACTAAATTAACCGTGTCTGTCTGTGTTGCCTTGTTGATCAACGGTGTTCTTGCTTTCTTTTTGAATGTAGTCAGTTTTACTGCTAACAAGAAGACTTCTGCATTGACCATGACTGTTGCTGGTAATGTGAAGCAAGTACTTTCTATTGTTTTGGCTGTGATTATCTTCAATTTGACTATTACATTTACAAACTCCATTGGTATCATTCTGACCCTGGCTGGTGGCGCTTGGTACACGTAAGTATATAGAGTAGCAAAAAGAAAGAAAAAAAGAAGGGCTAATTAAACAATATCTATAGCAATGTGAGTTTGAAGGAAAAGAACAATGCTAGAAAGGCTACTGATTTGCCTATTGTTAAGGAAGGTGTCGACAGCAAGATGCTTCGATAAACAACAGCATACATTCACTCACGTATATATATATATATATATATACATATCATTATAACCATCCACATTATAGAATGCATTACTCATTATTGTTAATTTGTACTCCCTAAAATTGAGGGGGAGGGGAAGGACCTATACACTGATTTTCTCGAAATAAAAAAAATGTCCTTTACAACAAAATGAAACTTGAATAGAACGTTCTCTTGAATCATTTCTTTTATAGTTTATTCGTCAAGATTCTGCTTAAGTTAATTAAACACTCATTTTTATTGCGTGATATTGACGATAGACTCGAAAAAGAGCAAGCATAAAACTACTCTTTTCAACCCGTGCTTTCAGTGGCTCTTCCATATGAAATATAGAGACACGTATTCAACTATCAAGTCCGAATTTGAATGCACAGCATTTGAATATCATGCAGAAAAAATTAAATAGATTGCATAAAAGCCATTGATTGTCATAGACTCAAATGCTCATTCTCAAAATCTTTAAATGGTTTAGCATTTGACATAAAAAAGACTTTTGAGGTACAATTGATTGGATGAATATCTCATGATGTACTTGTTTCTTTTACTTGGGTATTACATCTGTCTTTGAAGGGTTTAGAAAACTTTTGAAAGAAACAATGCATTTAGAATAAATGACGAAATTTTATTAAGTATTCATTACATAAACATTACAATATTCACAATTCTTTTTTTTTTTAGTGGTTGCCACTAGTACCATGACCATGGCCAGAAGAGATCTTGTCGGCCAATTTTTCGAGCATGCCTTCAACCTTATCTGCCAAGGAAGGGTTGTGATGAGCATTGTCACCCTGGTGATAGGGTTGGTCAATGTTACCACCAGTAGCTTGATTACCTGTGTAACCTTCATCCAGACCAGCAGTAGTAGGGGCATTGCCTCCATAAGCATCACTACTATAAGCAGTGTTACCGCCAGTGGTACCAGCAGTGTTGTTTCCACCAAGACGATCAGTGACAGTGCCAGTAGTAGCTCCAGCACCACCATAAGCATTACCGCTGTTGTAAGTATCAGTGTTACCAGCATAAGAAGTGTCGCCCATGCCATGTGTATTATCATTGCTGCCATAGTAGCCAGTTTCAGCGGTATTGTCAGTGCCATACGTTTGACCTTGTTGAAGGTTGTCGCCAAAACCTTGGCTTTGATAGTTTCCAGTATCTTGTACGGGTTGTTGGTCTACGAATTGTTGATTGTCACCAACACCAGCACCAGCGCGACTACGAGTATTGTATCCAATGTTATCAGCCATATTTACGAAAAATAAGTAAACAGTTAAAATAAAAAGAGCTTATTCTTTTATAAACCCTATTTATTATGCAAATATGAAACTGGTCTGAATTGCGTGATTGATTTACACCTTGTTGTTCCGAAACAAAGGTTACCTCAACATCACGTCGATAGTTTGCCAAAAAAAAGACAATGGGTTGATACCATCGCTATCCAATCTGATTTAAACATTCTTGCTATAGTGCATAGTTTGTTATTTTTTCGAAATTAATTCACTTGCTGTCTAGATAATAACTGAAAAGTATAATGAATGGTTATCTCCTTATAAATTAAGATAAAATCTTTATTTCATTATTCTCAGGAATAAATAAGCCATAAATAGATAACTTTTGTTGTCAAATCATTTGTTGGATCACACACACGGTTTATTGGACCAAAACAAAATTATAGAGCTTCTCAAATAGAATGCAATCTACTCCTTTCAAGTCCCCCCCTCTTCTTCAGCTTTATTTTATTTTTTTTTTTTGGATTTACCCCTTTCACATTCCTAATTCAATCAACCGGTAATTCTTATAAAAAGCATACATGTTTTGACAATTACTAAATCTCATATTTTGTCATTTTCTTTCTCTCATTTTCTTCTTCCTTCTTTATAGTCTCACAAGATGTCAAAAAAAGAGTGTCACAAAAATAATGCAGATGACAATCAAAGATCAGATACAAACAATTTCAGCCCTAATTTTTACAATCCTTTTGAAATCAAACATCGTAGACGCACTTCGCGTACTCAATTCAAGACACTAGAAAAAGCATTTGTGGAAAATCCAAAACCCAATGGAAAACAGAGACAAAAACTGGCTGAGAACCTATCCATGTCTCCTCGCGGCGTTCAAGTCTGGTTCCAAAACAGACGAGCAAAAGCAAAACAACAACAACAGCAGCAACAGCAACAGCAACAACAAAAAACGACAGTAATAAATGACCCTGAAACAGCCCATCAACCCATTATACTTTCTGCTGCTACTATGGCTCACAGCCGATCTCAATCTTCTTCTTCTACTTCCTCTTCTTCCTTTGTGTTCTCACCTTCTTCTTTTTCAACTTCTTTTAGTTCTTTTCATAATAATGAAAAAATTCACATGAATAAACCCTCTGCACAAGAAAAGCCATGGTATACCAGCGAAGAAGAAGAGGAAGATACGACCAAAATGACCACATCACCATCACCATCTACTCATATGAATTCATCTGAGTGGTATGTAGATCAAAGCAGCATGGCATCGTTGATAGGTCACCAAACGCATTCTTTGAATGAATTGTGGCAAGTCATAGGTGATAATACAAAGGCAGGTAAAACTGATCCTCTTACTATCAACGAAGACCTTGCTGATCCATGGGCTTATAATCATAGTCTCTCCAAAATGAGCCATGACCTCCTATTGACGGAGCAAGACCTATTGCCAATCAAAAGCACAATGGATCATGCCAACCACGAAAAGATAGCCACGAGATTCTTTGGTAATAATCATGATTTTACCTTTCATCGCAATGTGGATGACTGGATTCAAGCTGTTTCCTCAACCGCTGTACAGCAGACTTGTCCTGCCGAAAGCAATTTATTATTCCAGCCAATCTTTACAAGATATATACCACTTCAGCAAGATGAAGCTTATTGGGCAGGTCAACAGGTAAGTCCATTCTCTATCTGTCTAAAACTAAATCTCAACCAAGATTATGCGTCGTCTTTCCGAGTCTAATCAGAGCTCAACCGAGCTTCAACTGACTCACTCCTATTATTCATGAATATGATCTCTTTTCTATGTTTTTCTATGTTAATGATATGTCACTCCCCTTTATGATATCCATGTTATTGCAGCCGGCCACAATGATATTTATATATATATATATATATGCTTTTATAATTTATTAAACATGAGTACTTAATTATTTATACATGCAAATTGAATGAAAGAAACCTTTTATTATGTAAGGATGACAATGAATTATATATATTGATAACAAAAAAATAGAAATAGAATTTTGTTTCTATAATCCCTTTTTTTAGACAAAAGTGATTTACCACTTTCTTTCCACATTTCCAGAACCGAAGCCTCTGTTACCACTACCGCGGGTACGACCAAAGTCGCGGCGATCATTATCACGACGATCGTTATCACGACGATCATTGCTGTCACGGCCACTTTCACGAGAGCGCCATCCACCTTCGGAACCACGAGCAGTCTTCCATCCACCGTCAGAAGCACCGCTGTCACGAGTGGATTCACGAGCAGATTCACGAGCAGATTCACGAGCGGCCTCACGAGAACGCCAGCCACCTTCAGCACTGCCAGCAGTTCTCCAAGAACCACTGTCAGCTTGAGAAGGAGCTTCAGCAGCACGAGCAGCTTCACGGGCACGCCAGCCACCTTCAGCAGGAGCACCAGCAGGAGCACCAGCACGAACTTGAGGAGGTGTGTAAGTCTTACGAGTGGCAGCAGCCTTCTTAGCTTCCAACTTGCGTTCAATTTCAGCTTCACGTTCGGCTTGCTTTCTAGCGATTTCATCCAACTTCTTCTTCTTTTCAGCGAATTCTTCCTTTTCTTTAGCAAGGCGAGCTTCTCTTTCGGCCTTTTCACGTTCAGCAGCTTCAGCCTTTTCACGTTCTTCTTGTTCGCGACGCAATCTTTCGGCTTCTTCTTGTTCACGAATCTTTTCTTGTTCTTCTTTCTCTTGACGCCACAAAGCAATTCTTTCTTGCTTTTCTTTTTCAATAGCGGCTTCAGCAGCAGCGCGCAAAGCATCGTTATGAGCTTGACGTTCAGCTTCAAGCTTGCTCTTGAAGGTCTTGTAATCGCCAATGATACGAGAGAAACGAGACTTGAGCTTCATGTTTTCTTCATGCTTAGCCTTAGAAGTAGCAAGTTCAGCCTTCTTGGAAGCTTCATAGAAAGCCTTATCTGTCTTTTGTTGTTGTTCATAATCCTTCTCCAAAAGGGGAATTTCTTCTCTTCTGAAAGCACGTTCAGTGTGATCAATACGCTTGCTGATTTGCTTAAGACGTTCACTGAGTTCCTTTTGTTCAGTTTGAAGACGAGAGACCTTAAGGTCCAACAAAGTCTTCACGTCAGATTGTTCAATTTCTTCAGGCTTCAATTGAAGACCAGTCTTACTGCTGATTTCTTCAGCAATACGCTTAGCTTGATCACGTTGAATTTCTTCTTGAATACGCTTCAAACGTTCTTCCTCACGACGCTTCATTTCTTCTTCAACACGCTTCTTTTCAGCTTCAGCCTTCTTGGCAGCAATAGCAGCCTTTTCTTGAGCAATCAATTTTTCTTTACGGGCAATTTCGGTCTCAATGACTTCCTTACGGCGTTCAATGACACCCTTACGAGCAAGAGCTTGCTTATGTTCTTCTTCAGCACCAGCCAAAGCACGTTGGACAACTTCTTGTTTAGCCTTCTCGGCGTTTTCCTTGATGGAAGGATCAATCATTTGAACAACAGCATGCAAACTGACACCAAGACGAGAAAGCTGTGTACGCATCAAATCAGCAGGAGAAGATTGCAACTGAATACCTTCAGTCACTGTATCCTTAGGAGGAGCAAACAGATCAGTCTCAAAGATCAAGCTCTGAGAAGCATGGTCAATACGAATGTTCAATTCACCACGCTTACAACCGTTCATGATGAACTTTTCAATGGTGGCAGCATCATAGTTGAAAGGAGCAGGGAAAGAAGCGAGGTTCAAAACGAAATCCAACTTGACAGTGGTGTAAACCTGAGAAAGTTGTTGCAAGAGACGCGTCAAGATGACTTGATGAAGAGGACGAACGTATCTAGCCAAGTCTTTGTCTTCAGACAATTTGGACATGATAGGATTGATCTTCTTGCAGATAGACAAGGGGTGGAATTGAACTTCGAGGATGTTGTAAAGGTCGCGAATTTCAGGGCGGACGCGAGAGAGAATGTTCTTGTTAAGAGCTTCTTTCAACAAGCCAGTACGAGTAGGGTGGCTAGTCAAGCCCATAAGTATAGAAAGACGGTTGAGTTTTTGAACACGGTATTCGTCAGCTTCAACATATCCAGGGCGAGTCTTGGTGGTGGTGATGATGGGAATAGCCAAAGCAGACAACAAGACAATAGAGGCCATACGAGAGTGTTCGGCTTCAGTCAAGTTCTTGTTGATGTTGCGTTCGATTGTGGCATATTTGTTCCAAGCAGCAGAGTGGAAGAGATAGTCGTCAGAGACCATAAAGATCTTGGTGAGCTTTTCATAGTAGTTAGCCATCATGACAGGCTTAGGAGGTCTCTTGGAAGTGGTCAACAAGGTGTGGATATCTTCGACAGACTTAAAGGCTTCTTGCCACAACTCGAGTTCAGCAGCAGCGTTCAATTGAGCGAAACGAGATTCTAAATATTGTTGCAAGGTTTCAGGGTCGTTCAAGTTGACAGAATGAGGTTGGTGAGAGTATTTGGCAACGTTCATAAAGTGATTACGAAGAATTTCACAAAGACGACGGAATTCAGTCTTACGATCATAAGTCAAACAGAACTGGAAAGCTTTAAGGGTGACGGCTTGATAGAGTGTTTCCAAACGAGAGTTGTTACGCATGATATCTAAGACAGTGCGATAAGCTTCCCATAAAAACTTGAGCCAAGGAGTGACAACAGCACGGTCAGTTCTGTCCTTGTTTTGGTCACCAGAAACAGTGCTGAGCATGATGGATTCAGGTGTTTCGGAAGCTTCTAAATCATCAACATCGACAGCAATCTTATCAGCCTTAGCACGAGCTTCGGCTACCTTTTCTTCAGCAAGTGAGAGCATTTTGTTGATAATAGTCTATAGATATATTATAAGTATGGATTGATTTCATTGAGATGTACATACCTCAATGGAGTTGACGCTGGTGTTTTGAGCAATGTTACGGTATTGGTGAAGGCCTTCCTTGACCATCTTGCCCTTCTTAAGCTCAACACAGAGTTCAACGTACTTGAGCATGATGGGTTCCATCACAGTGATGGGGTTACTACGAGAACGCTTTGAGAGAACTACTTCATGAAGAGCTTGCAATGCAGCTTCATCTTGTCCAACAGATTGAAGTTCTATTGTCGAGAGAAAATAAAAACAAGTCAGTCTATCCATCCAGATATTCATCCATCCATCTACCTTCAACCCTCTTGAGGACATTATCCGACTTGACAGCGTAGAAAGGTGCCATTGTTAAAGGTGTATTGTAATCTTTGCTGCAGAATTCGTTGTCTCTACAATCTGTGCATACGTTGATGGTGACACAACCGAGCTTTTAGTCCATATAAGGAAATTCCTTTTCAATCTCAACGTTAGATCAAGCATTTGCATGTTGAGAAAGCAAATGGTCCTTTTTAAAGATTTACGTTCAACACAAACTCTTCTCCTTTTTTTTTATTTTTTTAAAAAAATAAGCCTGTATAAATAGAACTAGTTTTATTGCTTTCTTGTTCTTTATTTCTTCCTGTAAATTATGTATAACGCACCTCAACTATCAAAAGCAAAAAGTGGCAATCACTTGTTTAACAGAATAAAACAAGAACAATCAAATCTCGAAGAGCAACTTGTCATTGAATTCATTCATCGCACTTTAAATGTTTCAGTTCCTTTGGGTGAGTTACAACAACATCTTAAAGACGGTGTTATTTTATGCAAGTAAAGTGTTGCATTTCTATGAAATGATATTTATGTATTAATCTAGTCTTGTTAACTATGTTCGGCCAAACACCATCAAAATAAAGACACAAAAAACAGAATCCTCGTTTATTCAAGTAAGAGAGATGTATGCTTCTCCTTGTCACTAAACAGGCGTTCGTATATATAGATGGACAACATTTCGCGATTCTTACAAGGAGTTTTACAGGTATGAAACAATCAAGTCGTCTGTGTGAGTTAGCAAAAGGAGAAGGAGAAAGGGGGAGGGGGAGAAAGAAACAGAGAGAGAGAGAGAGAGAGAGAGAGAGAGAAAAATCTAGGGATGTAAAGAAAAGGGAGTATATCTAAAATACATGTAGCTTGGTATTGAACATGCTCCACTGTTTAAGCCAGAAGATCTGCATAGTGCAAGAAACATGTCTGCTGTAAGTTATCAAGTCGGAAATGGGGTTTTTTAAAAAAAAAAATAACTCCTATTAGGTAATCCATACTATCTTGACACTGGCAGAATATTCACAGCAAACTCCTTTGACAAAAGAAAAGGAGGTGCAAGGTAAGCTTGTATTTCGAATATTATTCTATTTAAACACAAGGAGATATCTACTAAAGCAACCACTTTATTAAAGGTCTATCACTTGAAGGAGAACCTGTGTCAGAAAAACCGACAAAACCAAAAAAGCAGCTTTACTTGAATACGTCCAAGGCAAAACATGACTCGAGCATAAGACCACCTAAATCACCACTGAGATTAAGGGGATCAGGCTCAATGCGATCTTCCAAACAACCTCATACACTACCTAAAAGACGACCTTCTATGCCTGCTCTTTCTGGTTCAATTGAATTAGAATCATGTCAACTTCAGAGGTCTACTTCTATATCCTCCTCTTCATCATCATCTATACTTTCTACTATATCTTCTACATGTTCTTCTATCGTACCAAAGACACCATTAACACCACACATACCTATTTCAACAGAAAAAGACGCTCTTCGACGCAAACAAAGTGTTTTTGTAGAAGAAGATGAGCCTTCTAAACCAACAAAACAAGTAAAAAATACAGATGGGAAGAAAATCACTTTAAGAGATGATGAGGATGGCAAGTTTATCACCCACTATGTATGTAAGCATGCTATCCTCCATCATACTAACTGGTAGAAAGCAATTGGGGAACTGTATAGGAAGAGGGCAATTTGGTTCTGTCTATAGAGCGCTTGATTTATCTTCAGGGGAAATTGTTGCTGTCAAAAGCATAAAGCTAGAAGATGAATCGCTTTATGCTGAAATTATGGTACACTAGTATCATACAAACATAGAGGCTTACATGTGTCTATAGAAAGAAGTCAATATCCTCAAGACGCTCTCTCATGCCAATGTGATAAAATACATTGGGTTTATTTCTACTGAACAATATCTCAACATCGTACTTGAGTATGCAGAGAATGGGTCTCTTATATCTACACTAAAGGCTTTTGGAGCATTTCCAGAGAAACTAGTAGCTTCTTTTTGTGCCAAGATACTCAAAGGTCTTGATTACTTGCATGATAATCAAGTCGTTCATTGTGACTTGAAGGCTGCCAATATCTTGACGACAAAGACAGGAGATGTCAAGTTGACTGATTTTGGTGTCTCATTAAACCTTAAATTAAAAGCAGTGGACGCAGATACTATATCTGGTACACCTAATTGGAGTAAGTAGACAAACAAACAAACAAACAAAGCACACTCAATTTCCTATTTAGTGGCACCTGAAGTGATTGAATTAAAAGGAGCAACTACCAAATCAGACATTTGGTCCTTGGGTTGTACTCTCATTGAATTAGTCACTGGTAAACCACCTTATAGTGACATGTTAGCCATGTCTGCCATGTTTCGTATTGTTGAGGATGACTATCCACCCTTACCAGATACTATTTCTCAAGACATGCATGAGTTTTTACTATGTTGCTTTCAAAAAGACCCTGAAAAGAGATCCTCAAGCAAACAACTGTTACAGCATCCTTGGATTCTCAAAAACCAACGAAAGAAAAAGATAGCAGTCAAAGGACAACATGATATGGAGCCTACAAAAAAGCCGCTTGTGAGTTCTAATCATCAAACAAGATATTATTCATTGAATTCAACTACATTTGATGATAACAATCATCATCAATTCATACAAACCTCCTTTGGGAAAGGTAGGCCAATACCAGTCTATTGGTTGTATACTCATGTATGATGATAGCCATAGAGTGTAAAGTATGTAATGAAATCATGAGCAATAGCTCTTTGTTTTGTGAAGGTAAAGAAAAAAAAAAAAGAGCTAAAAAACTAATGTCATTGTCAAGTGTGTTCCCTTGTGTGTCATAAAGAATGTAAAAAAATGTCTTTTTCATGTCCACCCAAGGTCAAGGATCAACAACCTTCTTATGATGTAAGTGAATTGTATTTTATATAATGTGTTCCCAACCATCCTATAGTGGGTCTTCTCTGCCAAAATCTATAATCGTAGTTATAAATCAACAAGTCATCATCATCATCGAGCTCAAATTCCTATTGAGTTTGCCAGGAAATCTTTAGAAAATCATCCACAAGCAGAAAGCATAAGAAAATACTCTCGTGCGCTTGGTTTGACAGAACAAGAACAACTGGCACTTTGTGAGAATTCTGCACTTTTAGAACACACAATGACAATGGAGAAACTAAGTCCAACAACTCCTCTGACTGACTATTGCCCAACAGAACAATCTAAGTTGATGGAAAGGCTGCTTGTAAAGAGAAAAAAGGGTCAAGAAGAACAATGCAACATTATGTAAATAACTGAAGGAGTTGCGGAGCATTAAAAAATTTCTTAAATAAATGAGTTTCTTTTTTTTTTTTCCTTTTTCTTTCTATTTTCCTTTTTTTTTTTTTTTTTTTTTTTTTCACTTTATACGATGGCCAAGTCAAAAGCAAAGCAAACACTTCCCCTTCATAAGATTATTATGGTGGGTTCTGGTGGTGTTGGTAAATCAGCCTTGACTCTTCAATATATGTATGGTGATTTTGTGGAAGAATACGATCCAACCAAAGCTGATTGTAAGCTTAAAATTGATTATCTCGAGAAACTATACTGATGTTTCCTATAGCTTACCGTAAGAAGGTTGTTTTAGATGGTCAAGAATGCCAAATTGATATCCTAGATACAGCTGGTCAAGAAGAATATGCAGCAGTAAGTTTCTTTTAATATTTAGGAGAAACTCAAAATAGATAGATTCGTGATAATTATTATCGATCTGGCGAAGGGTTTCTCTGCGTATTCTCTGTCTGTGAACAAGAATCCTTAGAACACACTCAGGAATTCCGTGACCAAATTTTGAGAGTTTTGGACGATGAAACTGTAAGTGATATATATACATATACATATATATTCTTGGCATTTATATACTATTCACCTATAGATCCCCTTTATTTTAGTGGGTAACAAAGTAGATTTAGCGCATTTACGTAAAGTGCCTGCAACAGAAGCCAATGCTTTGGCTAGTGAATGGCACTGCCCTTATGTTGAAACATCTGCAAAGACTAGACAAAACGTAGAAGAAGTCTACACTATGTTAATGAGACAAATCAGAGATAGAAAAGCTAAGCAACAACAACAAAGTAGTCCAGATAAAGACTCTTGTTGTATCATTCTTTAAACTCTTTCTTTTTTCATGTATTACACTCTAATAAATAATTTTACATTTCTCTTTTTTTCGTACACATAAAAAAAAAACTCGTTTATTTTTTTTGCACGTTCATCACTTCCAAGAAGAAAATCACCAATGCACTCTGGCTCCAGAAGGAAATACAGGTTACACATATTAAAGTGGCGATTGAAATTATATACTGATGACGCAGACAGATATTTGTCCTATAAAAAATTTCAAGATGAATTTTATTTTTTTGTTTGTTTCATATCTAATCAAAAAAAAAAAAAAACATGGTTGCAGCCAAACGATCAGCACCTAAAGAGGACGTTGTTATGGAGAACACAGCTATTGACACCATGGAGGCTATGGTGACTAATTCAGCAAAAAAGACAAGAATGTTGTTCTCTACCACGTATAGTCAAGCAGCCATGGATGAACAAGAAAGGTTTTTTTTTTAAATATATAGATTAGACGCGATTTCCTTTTTATGCTAATACGCGCGTCTTTTTTTTTTTTTTATTGTAGTCAACGTGTGAAATTGACAAGCAAGATACACGATGAATATAAAGATCTTCGCACACTTCCAGAAGCCTTGGTCAAACAACAAAAAGAAGCTCAAAAACACGT